AGGTTTTTCTACCGGAGTACTAGTACGAGGGCTTTTCTACCTACGAAAAATATAGAGCGTACTGCTTACTCTAGTTAAAAGAGGTAGACCGGCGTATAAGAATTATCTATCTATCTAATTCATGTACATCTTGGCACAATCTGTTGATTTTATGCAGTTATACTCATACAATCAATCGTTGAGTCAATCGGATCCCCCACGACCAGTCTTTCCAAGCACAGCAAGCCAGATACATGCGCGCCACCACGAAACCTCAACATTTGGTAAGCTAAGTCACGCCCTTTCTTGGCAACATCCACATGAACGGGGCCCGGAACTCGGTCGAGACTACTGTAGGTGCTAGTTTGATGCGAGCAATATGGCTGAGTTCATGCAAAGTCCGGTGGAATGTTAAGTTTGTTGCCACGCGAGACGTACTTTGCGCTAAGTGAGGACATGAGCTAGTTTACCAGGTCGCGCAGCTGACGAGTTCATCCTCTTGTGCTGAGTGAGCCTTTTTGGGTTTAGGTCCTTGTAGACTAAAGAGAGACATGAGCTAGTTTACCATGTTCGATCTTCATGAACCAGAGGTGTTCGTTTCGTGGAGAGGGCGCTGGTTGCTGATTGTGTAAGTCAATAATGAGGTTATTCACTGCTATGCTTGAAGCCATCGTCCTGCTGGTACACTCATGCATGCAATATTATTCTTCGTCCTGTTCGCCAGTCCTTCCAGATGTTCATGCCTCTGTTTTCATCATGCTGTTTTCATCTCTCACACTGGCAGTGCTTTTCCTACGCATCCAGATTCTTCGTCACACCTGGCTGAATCCTCTCCAACTTCTCACTCAACTCGCCCCATACCCGTCTTTGCAACTCTGGCCCCTCACGACCCTCTACAAGCGGAGCGCAAGGCGCAATCTTGGAATCACTCAAGTACTTGCCATGACTCTCCTCGCCCTTCAAACCCGCGTCTACCAACGTCCGGCTCCCAACCTCCGTTGTCCGACACATGATCAATTTCAACAACTTAACCAGCGGGTTCGAAACCTCCCTCATGAGTTCCGAATGACACCATCCAGGATTGACAAAGTTAAGCGTAACATTCTTCAAAGATCCAGGATGCAGTCTTGCGATCTCGCGACAAGCCAGGACTTCCAGAAGTTTGCTAACATTGTATCGATCACCCATGTTCGCAGTCTCCTTGTTGTTCAGCGTATCAAAGATATTCTGACTCGACTTCTCCTTGAAAGAAGTAAAGAAATGGACCTCAGAACTGACAATCGTCAAAGTAGGTTTGATGTTGAATTTCTGACTCGTTTCTTGCAGCTTAGGCAACATCAGTAGCGCGAGCAAGAATGTGCTCACGACATTGACAGTAATGGTCGATTCGTTGTCTTCCATGAGATGGTATTCTCCCGTCGCAACACCAGCATTTTCCAGTAGGATATCAATGCGAGGGAGCTCTTTTGTAGCACGCGCGGCGAAATCTTTGACATTTTGGTACGAGGAAAGATCGAGCTGCCAGACTTCGATGACGTTTTTGCGGCCGGTGGTGGATTCGATGTCGCGTTTGGCTGCTTCGCCTTTTTCGAGGGAGCGGCAGGCGATGATGAGTTTGGCGCAGTTGAGCTGAACGAAGTGGCGCGCTGCTTCTTTGCCTAGACCGACGTTGGCGCCTGTTACGATGATGGTCTTGCCTGTGCAGTCTTGAGTAGGCTTGGGAGGGGTGACGAGGAATTGCGAGTAGAGGAATCTTGGGAGGAAAGACATGGCGGGCTTTGATGTTGGAGCTTGTATTGTTGTTGAGGTGTCTGCAGAGGAATGGACGCCTTCGTTCTTATGTAGCAAAGGTGTGTGTATAGTGTTGCCGGACGTATGCTAACGCTCTGTCCGGGATGTAAGGAGGAAAGAGCTTGAGCTTTGTTCTACTATAGGCTAAGTCCGCCTTGCTTGCTGTGTTTGCTGCTGTAAAGTCCGTAACTCCGTCGTCGTCGCGACGTCATGCCAGCCCGAGCGAAAGTCGGCACCGACGCATTGGAATTTGTGGCAGCGTACAAGTGATGGCAGAAGAGCCAAAGGTCAATTATGGTTGCCTGCTGGGCGGGCGAGAAATTTGATTTTGATACACCAAACGGACGAAATCGCGAACGCCGGACGAATCTGTCAACGGTATCTCGCACATACCAAATTGCGGAGCAAAGAAAGTTCACCACGGGACTGTGTATACACCAGCATAGGCAGACTTTTATATTCCGGGATCCTTGACGGCCAAGATGCCAGGTTGATGATGAATCCGACACGATCCCCACCAGGATATTGTTAGGACGATTGTCAAGCATGAACAGGATGAAAGGCAGGATTCTTCGTAGCGCAAAAGGCGTGGTATCTTTGTATGAAATTTCCTATACATCGTGACTGTCGTGAGGTATTGTGTCTATTGCCAACTTTACAATGCAACGCTGATGCTGCTTTACGCCGTGAAAATGCGTTTGCGAACGTGGGAGGTAATTCTATGCCCACTTGCCCAAAATCGCCATCAGAAGTGCTCCGAGGACCATGCAGCCTATGGCAGAGAGCACCAATCTTATTGGTGCTTTTTGCATGTAGCTACTGAACATGAACTCGTGAGCCATCAGTTCCACAAGACCAGTGTAGATGAGGATGCCGGCCGAGATAGAGTCGAAGACGCCGTTGACGATGAGAAAGGACTGGCTGTTCGGGTTGAGCGAAGCACGCACGCCGAGACCGATTCCAATGGCAATGGGCGTTGACACAGCATAGCCTAGTCCGAGCAAGTATGGGGTGAATCGCTTAGATTGTGGCCAGTTGATGCTTCCAAGTCTCGAGCCCAGTGCGAGTCCCTCGAAGGTCTGATGGAAAGTCAAGACAACATATAGAGTGTCAAATTCTGAGCCAGATACAGCCAAGGTGAGACCGATGAAAATCGAGTGGAAGATGACCTTGAAACCATCATTAGCATCGCGAAAAGCTCCAGCGCTTGATTGCAAAGCCACGTCAGGAGGTCAATGCGCGCCTCGTGGGACGTCAACTTACACCGAATTCCAAGATGAAGACGGCCGTCATCTGCGCAGCGTATGAATCCGGGTCGAACGTCTTCTGCCCGGCCACAGCAGTAGCCGATGTTGAATCAGTGTGGTCTCTCGCATGTCCGAGGTGGTCGTCGCCGGGAACATGAGGATTGGTCGGGCATTCATTGCCATTGCCAGTGGAAACGCTGGGCTCGTCCTGATATTTGATGTCAGGCGAGCCGGTGAGCGCGTATGCCTTGTCCTGTGTGACATCTTCGACATCGTGATCATGAGAGTGGCCGAATTTCGCATAGCGCATCGTCATCAGCTCGACGAAGAACAGTAGGAAGACGGTCATGAGGATGATTCCTTCAACCCCTGCATCTCGTTAGTTGTGTCCCTGAGCCACGCTGCTGGAGTTCTCCACGCACATGTGTACTCCGTGATTGGTCCTGTGAGGCACTCATTCTTCAGGGCTTCCTCAGCGGGCGCTAGAAGCTGTTGTGTCGTCAGTGGTGTCGCCCGTGTACCTGGGTCGGCTACTTACATGTATGAACGCTGTAGCCACGATCACACCAGAGCCAAAGTACTTGGCGATGAAGAACGCCCATTCTGGAACGCCTGTGCCACGATGTCGTGCGGCGTAGACTGGGAAGAGTGCACCCAAGGCAGATCCCACGAGAATGACGAAGATGGAGGAGATGCGAAGTCCCAGGCGGCCATCGAACTCGTTGCCAGTGTCGCACTCCGACATGGTTGCTGCGGACGTGTGCGTCGAGGGATTGTTCACTGGCACAGGCGAGTGCTTATATTGTCAAGTCGATGCGAAGCAACAGCGCAAAAAGCTTCTTGAAGGACTGGATGGGACTGGCTGGATGACACTAGGTGCTACCGTCAAACACCTTGATGGACAGTGGTGCTTCTTGGCGTTGAATGGCCGGCAAGAAGGATACGCCTCGCGCGCCGCTCGTGGGCAGGCGTGGGCGAGGAGGTGGCAATGCCACTGCCATTCTGATTGCTCCGGCTTCGTGATGGGCGTTTTGCTTGCCTGTTACCCCCACGCCATCGTGTCCGGGATGGCCAGCTCTAGAAAGTGGGAGTTTGGGAAACAATCACAACCAGATCCGAGAGTCCCACCGTCCCACTCATCCAAAGCTTGACGGCGCTTGTTATACTCTTGTCCGCCTGTTGCCGAGCCCTTTGTTCGGTGAGACACGCTGCATTAGAATGTGCACAGCTATGCCGCGAGCGGTATACCACTGAGTAATGCTGTCTTCGACGAGTTGAGAGCACAGTTTGAGATTGAATTGCTGCACGTCACCATGCCTGTCGGGAGCGCGGAGCATCTTGTTGCGGCTGTTCTATACTCTATGGAACCCTTAACAACACAACAGTCATCTGTGAATGCAAAAATTACACCTTTCGTCGCAGCAATGCGCTGGTGCTTTGCGGGGCCTAGCACGTACATCAAGTGCACTACTGTAGGTCTAACTTGTGAGTGATGAGTTGGAGAGGAGTGGGGGCGCCGGCCGATGTGCCAAGCGTCCGCGACTTTTGGCTCCATGCTTTGGCAGCTTCGGCGTAGGTGAACTTGCACATGCACTCGTAGATCATCCGACACATCTGCAGCAATGGGGTGGTTATGGGGAAGCAGCACCGACGGGGCGAACGACCCTACCAAGAAACTGGACGATGGACTGCGGGATTTTCTGGATAAGGAATCCTCGAGACACGACGAAACGAAAGCAACTGCTGCACGCCCAGCAGCCGCGCCCTCGACCGATGCTGCATCAAACACCTTCAGAGCCCAACTTGGGCTAGACACACCTGGTCTCGACCAAAAACATCAGAACTCCGCACCCTCAGATCGACCCGCAGTCCCGCCTGAGGCACTCTATCAGGATGGGCGGTATGCGCATCTGTGGAAAAACTACAGGCCGCAGAGCGAGGTCGAGAGCGCAGGGAAGTCTGACCAAGATCGTTTGGCAGACTTGGTACAATCATTCAAAGATCGCAAAGCTGAGATTGGGCGAACAGCGCTGGAGAATTGCGCAGACTACCAGATCGCAGAACGAGAATGCTTGACCAATGGCTCGCTGTGGAAGAAGATGACAATGTGCAGGGAGGAAGGCAAGGCATTCAATAGATGCTATACCATGCAAGCACGGTTCCTCTCCGCACTTGGATATCTTTCACAAGTGCGATCAGAAGAAGAGGAGGAGCGCATTCAAATGCATGCAGACAAGCTGTACCATGAGATGCTGGAGCGGGAACGGATACAGAAAGAAGCAGAGGAGAAGGGCCAAGAGCTGCCAGAACTCCCGCCTCTGATAGTGCCTGAAAAAATCACGGCCGCACTTGGGGAGGATAGTGCGTTTGCGCGAGCACGGAAACTGGCCATGGAGCGCGGAATGCAGTACAATTTGAGCTCTTACACCCCAGAGAAGCAAGAGGAGTTCAAGAAGCGGATCGATGGCCTCTCACCAGCGGAGAAGGAGGTTGAGCTGCAGTTGATAGCAGCCGAGTCGCGTTCGCAGTTAGAATATGCTGAACAAATCGCTAAGCACATGCAGGAAGAGAAGCAGCACCGTGAAGAGAGGCGAGACCGTGGCAAAGAAACGATAGGAGACACCTTGAGGCGGTTATGGGGGACATGAACACAGTATTGTAGGAATATGCATGTAAAATATGAGCATTGAGCTGACATCGCTGCCCCAGTTCTGGCAACAGGTGAGCGTCCACGTCCCACGACTTGTTGCGCTGCCCAGCATCTCGGCTTGGTTGTTCCGATTTCCCAAACCGGCAAGAGTCCACAAACACTACACGTCTTCTGGCACTTTGGACAGCACTTACGCGATAGATTACACTGCACGTCTTCCCGCCAAATCGAACAGCACTTATGCGATATATCATGCGCAGCATTGGATACCACGGACATGGCTACAGCATCACCTGCTAAGCACGACAGAATAGAAAGACATATTCAACGACAGCGTGGAGCTGGGTAAGCGACACTGTTTGTGAAAGAAAGGACTCGTAGCTGACGTACCCCAGTGTGCGAAGTCTTGCGACGAGCTTTGGTTTCTCCTTTGGTCTCCCGATTGCCCCGCCGGCGCCCCCAGCATTTGGATCGACACATGCCGAAGAACGACCAGCGAAGCGCAGGAAATCGAGTGGCGTCCCTGCAGGTCAGGGAAAGGCAGAACAGAAGCTAGTGATATCGAAAGAAGATGCAGAACCGCAGGAGAATGTCGCTACAAATGGCAAGCCCCAGAGGACGACCGCTGCCAATGGCGAAGAGTCGGACGACATAATACACAGCAAGGCGGACGATGACGGCTCTGTTGAGACTCGAGTTGTGCCAAAGAAGCCTTCAAGGTCAAAGAAGGTGGTCAAAGGAGTCCAATCGGCTGCGGACACTTCTGCTGCATGTGTGGAAGCTCCGGCAAAGAGGCGTGGTCGGCCAAAGAAGGCACTCGACACGGAGGATGTGAAAGGGAACGCAGCACCCGATGAGCCTACAGACCGCTTGATGGCCGTCGCAGCGGCGCAGATAGCGGTGGGTGTACCCACAGCTCTTACTGCAGATGTTGCGGCCAAGTCGACGAGCCCAGATACCACGAAGCCGGCGACTAAGAGGAAAGGCCGGCCGCGAAAACCCCCAGCATCCGAAGCGGCTGCGAGTGCTGTGCCAGCACCGATCGAAGATTCTGGTTCGCAGCCTACCGCTCGTCCTAGGAGGCATGCCGCCACGACGGCCATGACCAAGGTCTCGGAAGGTTTGTTGGAAGAGGAAACCGACATTACCAAGAAAAGACGAGAAGACGTGCCAAAGCGAGCCCCGCGATCAAAGCAGAGGGTGAAGAACGATGGATCTGGGCCGACCGAAGCCATGCCCAGCAAAGAGTCTGAGACGTCTGGCAATTGCGCTGATGAACCTCCAATCATCGAATATCAGCCTGATTCTGATGCGCAGGGCACGCGGACACAGCCAGAGGCAGCGCGCAGACCAGCACAGCGACGGCCTGCCGCAAAAGTTCATAACACCACTAGCCCCGATGATGAGCAAGCACCTTCGATTCGCAAACCAACAAAAGCCGCATCTGTGATGGCGGTGGGCAGTGAAGGACCAGCTGGAAATTCAGCACAGACGACGAATGCGAGCTCTGCGCCCAGTGCAAGGCCTAGAAGGCAAGCGGCCGAGGTTGCGGAGCACAAAGTCGCAAGCGGCTTCATCGAGGAGGCGAGCGACATAAGCAAGAAGCGACGCGATCCTGATAGCAGTACTGGAATTGGTAGAGCCCATCCAAAATCTTCTGGCAGAAGCAAGGCAAGTCACAGAGCCGACATGAAACTTGCTTGTGAGGATAAGGCGCCTCCTTCTGAATTTGCCACAGACGGCGAGAAGAAAGAGAACCGTACACAAGTTGCAGGAAATGATCGTGAGCTGGCCCGTGACCGTCGACCCCTTGGTGAGGCAGTTGTCAACATTCGTTCGGTCTCACCAGCGAAGAAAACGCCAGATGGAGGTGAGAAGAAGAAGACGAGGCAGCCAGTGCAGAAACCCGCGATACCAAAGAAGTCCGCAATCGAGCCTAATATCAAGGAGAGCACAAGGACGACCGCTGCAAAGAAGACTAAAGCTGGCAAGATTTTCGTCGATAGGGATGCAGCTCAACATGTCGCGGCTACGCGAAACAATGCCATCCTCCAGGACACAGCGGTGTCATTAGGGCTCGGTCTCGAATCGTCAGATACAGCACCCAAAAAGCCCTATGTCGATCACGGCAGTTTGGAAGCCTCCTGTGCGGTACCACAATCGGTGCACAGCAAGCAGCAGACGTCGAAGAAAAGTTGCAGACCAGAGTCATTGAAGAATGAATCGAGGGTCAAACAGAACACAAACGACATCAATGAAGATGTTGACTGGCTCTTTGATATGCCACCGAAGCCATCAGTGCCGAAGAAGCGGGCTGCGAAGCAACTGCCGATTGTGCACCAGCAACGGAAACGAATGGCAGACACGAGTGAGAGTGACCTAGACGATCTCCTGTCAAACATCGCCACCTTCGTGCCCCAGATCAAAACGTCGCAAGACCCACCAGTTCAGGTACGCGCTACTAGGAAGAAGATAGGATAAAGATAGAGTCCATCGCCTGATGAGCATTTCCGCACGCCGGCTAAACACAGCATCCTGCACCACTATTTACCATGTCGTCTCACGGCGAAACATTCTCCTTCGGGTCGAGATTCGAATTGATCAGGCGTGATGTGATGTAGGCATTGGCAGCGTGAGCGCCTGGGGTACCGCCCCTGCTCAGATGCGCGACATAAGGGAATCCTACGCGGCCGCCATGATTGCGTGACCGTAATCAGTGACGAGTCAGTGAGAACTTCCCCGGCTCTCACAGCAAAGCATCTCGCCACACCTGAGTCTCGAACCGCGATTGATTTTCCTCATCGACGACGTAAGTGGACAACGTGAGCAAGTTCCAGTATCTCCGTGCATGCCCATAGATCAACCCTCAGCTTCATCAATGCTGCAGTTCTAGCTCCGGCCCGATGGAAGTAGCCGATGCCTGCTTATGTGCCAACGAACCGGATTGCATGGCATACGAGACCAATGCCGGCTATCAAACGGAGATCCAACAAGAATCCTTTCCACTTGCCTCCTACTAGCCACACCTACCACGCACCCTACTACTTCGCAGTCCTGGTCTACTGGCATTGCTGCAGGTGATCACACGTGCGGAATTGTTAGCGAGAATTTGGACTTCAGGGCTCTCATTCATGATGATGACGATGACTTAGCGCTGCATCTTCTGATGTGGAGTTCTGGATGCCAGACAGGGTGAGAATTAGTCAGTTGCAGGTGAGCTCTGGGGGTCGAATTCACTCAATTGTGCTAAGGTGTTGCTGCAGTAGCTTGCAGTATCGGGTGCGTTCCAAGTATAGCAGCGGTAGTGGTGGTGCACGACTTGCAGTTGCTTCAGTTTCAGCCTAAACCTCATCGTCAACTCTGCCAACACGAGTTACTGTACCATCGATCGATCCATAAAAGTGCGGTTCAGCGCAAGAACAGCACCGTCCACATCATGAGCCTGTACGCTCGGTCGATGGCTGCCGACCAGGAAGACTTGTCCACCGACTCCCATGAACGGAAAAGCCACCACAGGTGCAGGGCAGCAGGCACCCGCAAAAGGCTGTCCAGCAAGTTTCTTCCTTGCAGCACCCGGAACACCCTCGACCGATGCCAGATCTGTTGCGCCATAATGCCGGCCTTAGCATTTGCTTCTTGGTGCCAGAGGCGGGAAACGACAGGCATTTCCGTCTTACCGGATTCGATCAACCCATCTCCCCTGGCCCGTCAGGGATCCCATTGCCTTCCAGCCACGAGACTATAACCCTTGCAAAACTCAGTTTTTTTCTGTCCGACCCGAGCCCTGTCATGCTGCGCAGCTGCAAGCAAGCTTGTCGTGACACCATGGCCGACCCTAGCACCTTGCTCAGATCATGATGCTGGTCGATTCGGGTCATCAGCCAGGTTCGTCTGCTTGTGTTTGTCTCTCGTTGCTATGCACTCGATTGAATCTCGCCAGCATGGTACGTGATATGACACGTCCAGCTCAGATTGTCTGAAGGCAGTTGCTGAGAACGTCGGGTCGTGGAATATCAGGTCTTCCCTATGTGTGATGCTTGCCCTTCCAATCTTTCTCTTGATGAACATCCTTCCTAGACCCCTGCACGCGCTTATGGCTGACCACCTGGAAAGTTCCTAGCGCAGGGTTGATGGACTGACTCGATTTGGTCATTCGTTGCTACCACTGCTAGGATCAAGTTTTTGTGTGGTGACGGCGATGGGGAAACGGGAACGAGAAGGGTTTGAGGTCGAAGCGATGAAGCTTGATGATGTTGCCATGGATAGTGGTTGGTTAGCCGACATTGGCCGGTATGGCAACCTGGCCTGATCGGGTAGTCGTCCTGTGAGAATCATGATGGAGCGGAGACATTCCACCACGTGGCGAGGAACAGGGGTCATTCGATGCTGTCGCTTTGTATAGCGCTGCTAGTCTGTTGCCGTATGGAACCTCTGGTGCTCTGAGCTTTCCTTTCTTCCTTTCTCATCACCCCGGTGATCTCGCAATCTTCGCCCAAGTTGGTGGCGATTTCGCGCGCTTGACCGCTTGCTGGTCTTGTCACGGCAATAAGTGAGACATGTGTTGCGGTGTTGCGTTGGTTTGATTCGATCGTTGCGCGTTGCATGCAGAAGCTTCCCGAAGATTAACAGAAAATGTGTGCAGTTCAACGTTGCATTGCCCCCGGCTTGCTGGCGTTTTGCTTCGATGTTGCTTGCTTCCGGTCTGTCTTTTCCGTCTTCACTAGCAACGACTAGTCCTGAGGCTCCATCGCTTTTGCCGGAATGAAACAAGTTCGTCTAGTCACTCTGTATCTGTTTGGTCGGTGAGCGACTTCTGGCACCCATGTACATCTAGCTGGCGAGCGCTTTTCGTGTATCGCCCATAGAGTTTTCTCTTGCGGTAATATACTTCCCAGCTTGGAATGGGTCTCCAGCACGAAATGAGGGCACGAAAGCGATTTGCCGTTTGGCCGAGAAGAGATGAAAATTAGGCTCTCCAATGTTCACGTTTGCAAGCTTGCAGCTTGTTCGGTGAGGCATGGGTTTGCTGGCAAGTTACTTCCGCGCCAAGGACCTGTCGAAGGACAACCAGAGTTTGCGTAGCCGTGCATGGCCATACCGCAATGACGGCGAAATGACCAACGCAGGCATTAAGCAATCTTGGGCATTCTTGTAGCAAGCATATGTGACAGGCAGATCCCGTGGAGGATCTCGTCTTGAGGAAGTTGTGGTGATCAGGTTCTCCTGGTTGTGATATGGGCCAACGAATGGATCTCTCATCTCAGATGCGTTCGCTGCTTGCGAGCCGCTACATAGCGCCATTTTTGTTTGCAGGGCTGGAAGACGTATAGCGTCACATGTTGATAGATTCCAACCCCATTTTAACTCCTCAGTGTCGATGAGGGCGCTGTTGCTTACTCTGTTGTCCTGGTGCACTTTAGTGGCCACCATGACAGACCAACCGCACTCGTGCACATGCCTCTGTCACTTTGGCATCACTCAGCGAAGCAGGTGATGTCAGGCCGGCAATTCGAACTTGGATTGCGGTAGTTCGAAGCATGATCGAATATGATCTTGCTCGTCCCGTCGTTGACAGTTCACGCGCCGCACTTCCGAGCAGCTTTTCACTTTTTGTTCGTCGAAAGTGTAATCGCCTTGTTGATATTGCACATTCAGCAAAAATGTGCTATGCCGATTCTGGTCTGGTAGGCCAACAGTTACGAGCCGTTGTGCTGAACTGTTGATCATGTGGTCGAGACCAGCATGCCGTTGTGATAACAACGGTGAAGCTGTTAGGCAGTTGTAGTGCGTTTCAGATGTGCCGTAGCATCAGAGGTTACTTGTCGAGTCGTTCACAGGTCCGGCCGGCCATTGATTTCTCTTGCCGCGGCCGATTCGTGTTGGTGTTGTTGATGTTGATGGCCGACAACAATCGTGTGCCTAAGCAAACTTCGAAGTTTCGTCCGTTACTCCCTTGCACATTGTCGGGATAGACTAGCACATCTCGTTGACGCCCAAAACACTTACGACCTCTTTAGCGTCCCATGTCTTCAGGACCAAAAAGCAGATACACTACCCAAACTCTGCTCCAAATTGCACTTTCGCCATAATAGCGTTCTCCCTTCAAGCCTTCATATCGTCGATCATCCCTCGTCCCGCTAGAGGAGCGGTCGTGCTGCAAGCAGCAACGGTACCGAGTCCTTCTTCGCGTGTTCTAAAGTGCTTCCATACGACACGGATGACTTTCCGCTCTGCCGTTGGATCTTGAAGACCGCCGCGCCGGGGCTAGCGGGACATTGAGCAAAACGCCGCGCGCGGAACATTGTTTGCGCCATCTTTTTGCTCTTGTCGCAGCCAACGGAGGATCGTCTCGAGCGCCAAGAGAGTGTCAGGAGGCACCGCTGAGTCGGGTCCGGGTTTTGCTTTTCGCGTACCGCCTCATTTGAACGGCAGGTCGATCGAGGGCGGTATGCGGGAGAGACCGGATCGAATGCGAGGCGATGTGGTATTGATCAACTCTTCGTGGGGTCGGAGTTGGAGATATGGGTTGGGATGTGCAGCGAGGCGTTGTTGCGAAAGGCTACAGAGGCAAGAGGCAGTCGTGATTGCAGTCGCAAAGCAACAACCCCGCAGTGCCACACCAAGGAAAGAACGAGCGACGCGACACACAGTAGCTTCTTCACATTTTTCGTCTAGCAAATGTACAATAGACGAGCAAATAGTACAGTAGTAGCTTCTGCTGATCGTGGGATCTAGGTTTCTATGTAGGAAAACAAACGCCGAATAAAGCAGTATTGCTCACGGGAGGGGTATCTCGAAAGACAGCAGCAGTAGCAAGCACAATGATGAAAACACAGAAAATTCATAGTACAGTTTTTGTGGACAGCATCGCGTGTCCCTTGCTCGTCCGTTCCGTCCGAAATCACATGCAGTAATGCCCGTCGCTATGGTCTTGGGGGGTATCGAAGAAAATAGGGAAAGGTTCCAGTCTCGTACAATTAGAAGTTTGCGACAATCGATCTGGTTTGTGCCCTCGAATGCCTTTCAGAAAGGTGGCAAAGGTGGGATTTATTAGCAGAGTAGTTGGTCTGCCAATGCTACGGTTGTCCGGCCGTTGATGGACGTTTCGCGTCAATTATTAGATAGGTATCAGGGATCACCTGGCGTCAAGCCCGGCGCCTTCTAGCGGCTGTCCCTGTGCTGGTGTTGTTGGTGGTGAGCAGGTGGCGGCTGTTGCTGAGGCTGCTGCCCTCCCTGAGGCGGCTGCGGGCCTCTTCGCTCGGCGTACGGATTCCATGGTCCGGTTTGTAGTGCAGCTTGCATGAGCTGCGGTGCTGCCTGATGGTTTCCAGATGCTGGAGGTGGTGGCAGGTTTCTGCGCTCCAAAGGAGAGGGTAGCGGTCCTGCTGGTTGCTGCAGCGGCTGCAATGGCTGATGTGGATGGGGTTGCGGAGCAACCTGCGGACCATAGTTAGGAGGCGGGTAGGACTGTGCCATGCCAGGTCCGGAAGCGTTTTGCGTGCTTTGCGCCTGGGCGGCATAGTGCGGCAAGGATAAAGTCGACGTCCTGCGCCGAACATTGCGACCTGAGTCTGGACTACGTGCGCCCGCGTGGTCCTGAAAATGCATATAGTTGCTTGCACCACTGGGACCCGAATATCCTGAGGTTCTGCGATGTCGAGGGGACTGCGGTCGTGGAAAATGGCGGTCGCCTCCAGGAACTTGCAGGATTACTCCAGCCATGTAATCCCTCTCGCGCTTGTAAAATTCCATGTCCTCGCTGATCTCCTTCATTTGCTGCTCCAAGCGCGAGATAGTAGTAGATGCTTCCTTCTCCTTCTCCTTGCGCCTCTGCCGAAACCGCGCGCTTGCTCCTGCATTTCTTCTCCTCTTCTCATCGGCTACACGGGATGCAGCTTGTACATCCACGGGCAATGAAACCGTGCCTGATGTGGTCTCCAAAGTCATCATCTGATAAACATTCTGGCCGCCGGAAGATGAGATCGGCACGCCGACCGATCGTTGCTGTTCAGAGTGGCTGGCACCTCCGCCGTGACTTCCAAATTCTGGTTTCGTAGAGTACGAAGCCGACAACGTCGGCATAGAGGACTGACCGTAGTTTCCAGCCGGTGATGCCTCGTTATAAGATGAGTACGAAGACCTGGGACTAGCAGATTCCGATGGTGGCCTCGCGCGAGCCGAAGCACCAGCACTGGTTCTGCGTACTGCCTGTCCGGGAGGGGGAGGGGGCGTCGGAGCGGAGAAGCCATGGCTGGAGTGCCTTGCACCTGGTGGCAGACGGGGCAAAGGGGGCGCTCCCGCAGTGCCTGGCTCGACTGTATAGGTCCTGCTTCTCGGGGAAACTGCAAACGGATGGCCAGGCGTGGCAGCTGAGGAAGTGTAGAGCTGATTCAAACTTGCGGCACGGTGAACCGAAGGCGATCTCGGAGTCAAGATCCTTCGCGGTGCTCGTTCGGCTCCATGCGTGCTTGCAATGTTCATCGAAGTTGGCGTAGGCGTGCTGGTGGTGGAATAGGGAGGTCGGTTGTTGATACCCAAAGGCGGAAGCACATTCGATGAAGATTCCAATTCAGATGCCTTGCGTCTTCGCGAGTGCGGGCTGTCATCTGCATCGACGGGATTGAGGATAGATGATACGCCTACAGATCGCGAGGCTGGGTGGTAGGTCGCAGCTGGCGCAGGCAAAGCCTGTGGCAGAGGAGGGAGTTCGATGGACCTGCCATTGCCGGAGGGATAGCGCTGCAAGGCTGGCGAGGCTGCGCTTGGAGTCCCCGCAGTCGAGCGTTGGGCGAAGTGTTGCTCAGCAGGCGTCGGAGGCGGCTGGGGTTGTGAGCGTTGCGATGAGTCGTTGCCACTGGCAATCAAACTATCCGAGGGCTGCTGCTCTCGCTGCCGCTCTGACATGAAATCCTTCCCTGTGTTTCCAGCCTGGTCTCGCGCCTCGGACCATGAGCGTGGTTGATGGGCCGGTGCAGGGTCCGAGGGGAGTTGTCGAGTGGAGAGGAGAGTTGAGTTTCGGTGCTTGAGTTGGCGGAAGTCAGGAAACGAGGCGGCCGCGTCGTAGCCAAAGGGCCCACTGTAGTGACTGTGGAAACGATGGATGTCGGTGGCAGCCACGTTGGCAGATGACGTGGGACGCCGAGAGGGCGTCCGTGAAGCAGTGCAAGCGACCTATATGTTCGGCGAGGAGAGCCTCTGTCCGTCCGGGCTGACGGTGGAGCGGGTGGTGGCTACTGCAGCTGCGCATACGCGAGCAGCACGAGGCTCATAGCAACACGCCAGACCCGGCGTTCGCACAGCACGATGGCAGTGAGGCTGACGAGATGGCGTGGTGATGCGCGCGGGCGGGCAATGGGCGCGGTGGCCTATGGGGTTGCAGAGAAAGTATCGCAGAGCAGTGGTTCGCCCGCGACTCGGGAGGTGACGAGTGATATAGAATTGCGGGAGTTCAGCAGCAGCAGCAGCAGCAGCAGACAGGCGGTCGGTGTGAATATGACAGCACTACTGCGAACGGGCCTCCAGCAGCGCGCCAGCCAGACATGTCTGCGAGTCTAGTGCGCAGAGCTGTCGTGACCGACACCGACTCGCGGATGGACAAGGCTAACGAGCCCATGCCATCCCGCACTGCAACAGGCCCATGCCCAAGTGAGTTTGGGGCCTTTGGGCAGGTGCCGGTCGCGGATGCGGGAAGGCACGACTAACTAGGCACGATGCTCGAGCCTTTTCGCGCAGCAGTGCAGTGCGCAGTGCGGCCAGCGGAACGCCTGCTCGCCCTGATGCGACACTAGCGCGCGCACGCCTTTGATTGAGTGAGGTGGAAGCGTGGGAGGCGACGATGGGGAGCAGTGGCAGTAGCGCAGCGCAGCGCGGTGCAGTGCAGTCCAGCACACTCCTCGGCGGCTGCGTGCAGCGAGCAGACGCGAACGGAGGGCGATCTGCACGCACACGGCAGCGGCGATACTTCCAGGAGAGACGACAGCACCAGGAGCGTGGGCTGCTAGGGGATCCACTATCCACGGCACTGGTCCAGGTACGCAGGGTCACAGAGGTCGTGGCGCTTTCAAGGTTCATCGGGAGAAGGCTTGCAAACCTAGCATGCTCCCAGCGACGAGAGATGATGACTGCAGGCTGCGACGATGATGGCGATGAGCCCTGCCGGTGCCAGGCAGAGGCAGAGGCAGAGGCGGGCTCGCCAGACGTCGTGTTGCTCATCAGCGCACCAACACACCGCACGGCCACATCGTCAAGCAGCGCTGCTCCCACGATCCGAGGGAAGAATACAGTAGTACGCCGTCGTCATCTCATCAGCCCCATCACTCAACACCACCTCGTCAATCACTCCTGCGCAGCGCTCGCCGGGGACATGGTCGGCGGAGCGAGATGCCTCGTCTGCGATTGAGTGACGCCTTCTGACGACTCTTGCGCACGGCACTTGGGAATCGCGCTCCTCTCGATACGTTCTGCACCACCGCGCCGTCTCGTCTGGTCCGAGACACCACCCTAGGCACCTCGTGCTACAGCAGGACATACTTGCGCAGCCATACGAGACATTGTGGTCACCATACCACCTTCCAGCTTCGCCCCCAGCAGCATCCGTGAGGGAGTAAAAGTGACTTTGATATAGAGTGCTGTGAGACTCTCACTTCGCATCGAGCCGCCGCCGCCGCCGGAGTTGGGCAGCAACATCTCTTCTCGCGCAGATCCTCGTCCAAGTCGCAATCCTCAGAGTTCTGCCCGGCCGACGGCTCGACAAGGGAACCTGTGACGTTGCTCGGCTCCGGCAGAATGGTCATTACAAGTTGCTTTGGGTCCGGGCACATGGGCGACCGCCAATAACGCTGCGCTGCTCTCCTCTCCAGCGACCATCTGCGCTCCCTTGACCTTTTTCGCTTCATCAAGTCGACGCAATGTGGAAACTGCCGTAGGCCGCACCGCACCGTCCGCCGGTCATGTGCGCACTGCAATCTTCGCCTGCGCAGCTCATCACACCCACTCTGCAAATTGTCATGGCCGTGATTGGCCGGGGCGGCAGCGAATTTACGAATTCTCGCGACGTGTGCCTATCAGCATTTTGCTGTGCGTGCATGTGCATGTGCATTGGCGCAATCCTGCTGACAGCGGTCTGGCAACATGTCGCTCAAAAGGTTATGCGCCGCAAAGTTCAAACGCCGGCCGCGAGGCAGATGGGGGCTCACGTTCCCGTTGATCAGCAACCGCAGCGACTCCACGCCGCCAAACGCGCTCCTGACGACGTGAGCAAATTACCGAGCGCAATGATGCTCGTGCTGGCAGACGCTCATTTCGCCCCAGCTCGCCAATCCCTTCCAGAAGCCCGTGACCTGCTGCTTTAGCGCTTCTCGGGCGGGCGACGAGGCTACGATGCCGTGGTGCCAACAAAGTGACTAACAATCCTGCCCGCACGTGGTCGCTAGCGCTAGTCTAACGGATCTGAACCTTGATCCACCATGCGCCCACCATTCGTTGCCGACTCGCATCCTCCATCCAAGCATCGATACAGTACTCCAGTCGACGTGCGCGATGCGACGACCGCCGGCCGCCAGTGCGTCTTCCGCTGCAGCACCACTTTTGGCCATTGCGACATCTTCCGTCGTTCCCTGTTGCAGGCTTGCAGCAACTTGGACCCAACCGTGTCGCACCTGGATGGCCTTTGGCTTTGGCTTTGGCGGTCAAGCGAGCAGGAGCGCGCCGCTCGATACGTTCAACACGACACGCGCCAGTACCGCCGCCTTAGCTGCTTCTTCCTCCCCTTCCCCCTCCTGTTGCAGCGGAGCTGGCGGGTCGGGCGAGTGGTGTGCTTCATGGGTCACTGCGAGTCAGATCGGTGCAGCCATTGCTGCTGCAGGCGGGGGCCGTTCCTGAGTATTACGCCAACCACGTTCCTTAGCACTGCGCTCGCCCCTCTGCTCCTGAACGACCCAGTGTAATAAACGAGATCGCTGGCTCCGGATTGCATGCACGGCGCACGATGCACAACCATACCACCTTCGCCGTCATCATACGGGATCACACTGGTGCATATGTGCATCATCGTCGTGGCGCTGGCCGCCTCTGTTTGTGGAACCAATCAGCCCTCTCGAGGAACAAACCGTGCACCCACCGCCTCTGCAACGACATCATGTACGGAGGTAGCGCTGGGTTATGACCACGTGGAGTCCCGAACGCCATGATGCGCGATACCGATTGCGTACAGTCTAGCGCGTGGCTTGCGAGAAAGAAAGTCGAACCGGCTCTGCTCGCTACACCTCACGAGCAATGCAGTGGATCGTGACTAGGGCCGCTGTAGATGGACAGCCACTGCCGCTTCGCTCCCTCGAAGCCCTGTGGTCGCACTCTTGAAACCCATCCCGGCGTCGCTAGAGGTGGGTTCCGTCTGCATTCGGATGCATCGCAACAAGCCGACCCACGCATGGCTCGACCCTGCGACCGCAGCCTTGCCGCACACTATGCGAGCGCTCTCTTTTCCGTCGCTACGCTCCGTAGAAGAATACTAGAAACTAACTCCAGCTACAAAGAGACAGCGCATACCACAGACACGCCAAAGCGCCATGCCATGCAGGTGGCGTCTCCATCGATGTAAAGCGAACGCCAGATCGAGGATTCCTCCGATGCGTCTCTAGCTTGCCTGTTCTACGTCAGCGTTACCTCGTCGTCGCAAACGAGAATGCGATACTGGGCGTCAGGAGAAGTCCAGCCGAGATGATGCGTGCGTACCAAATTCCAAGTCGAGGAGAGCCAGAACGACGGTAAATTCGATTTGGTATCAAGACTACATGGGAGCGGACGATACCAGACGCCTCAGGTGATGCGAATGCACCGAGCGCCCAATATGTGCACCAAAGCACTTTTGCACTTGTCTCACGTTCGTGCGCAACGTAGGACCAACGCCATGTGCCAAGCTTGGCCATGGGCACACGAGCCGTGGCTGGCTGATGATGAAGGGGTGTCTTCATCGTTGACATGAGCTCGGTCCCGGAGGATGACTGACGACATCTGCTCGGACCGCGTGAAATAGGATCACGAACCAGATCCTCTGCAGCCATGTGTCACTCGCTACCGTGGATCTGGATTTCCTTGTCCTACACAGACGTACTCGCAACATTCTCGGCTTGCATAGAAGTGTTCCGCGACATGACGAGCAACGTGGCTGGTGCCACAAATACCATGCTGCTGATGGAAGCTGAAGAGATCGTGTCCTGCGGTGGTACAGAAGAATCTCTGAACATATCCAGCGTGGGGGCATGTACATGGCGCTACCGCTTCATTGGACGGCCTGTTGGGCGCTCGAACAACCACAGCTACCACAGGTACCGTTCATATTCTGTGCAGTAGTGCTGTGTCTGCTGCGCGTCAGCGATTGCCTTTCCTGTTTGACTATTGGCAGACAAAGTTCAAGCTTGCAGTAGTCGAAGACGCTGACGCCTGGTACTATCGACTTGCGCCAACGCATCAACGACAACGCTCGTGCATGTCGTGAGACAGAACATGCAACGACCACGTCCGAGCCTGTGCGATCCCATTAACTGGATGGAGGAGCATGCGCTTGGTATCATCAACAACACTACCGGAGAGGTGCGTTGCCACGACACCGTGGCTCGAAGTATTGACTTACTGCTTGAAGTCCCACGTCCAGCAATCCTGCGGACGATTAGTCCCAGGTCGCATGAAAGGCTGCAGCTTCACAGATGCATACCGAAGCCCAACCTGCGGCTAGCATCTTTGACTACGCACGTGTTCTGAGCGAGATTCGCAACACATTTGGCGCTATCGATTTGAGCCGCAAGTGCGTGGGAGAACCGTTCACTTATGTTGCTGAGATATTGCTTGCACAAGCGATGTGGCGAACAGTGTCGCTACTGCTGCACGTAATGCTGACATGGTATAGGCTGCGAACCATCAATTTCACAAGTGACACCGACCCAAGGCTCACACTGGCTGTGGACCAGAAAGTAGCCTACCTCAGTTGCTCAAGCTTCAGACAATGACTGCTTCTCCTCAACTATATTTGTTCATCATCGCAGAGATACCTGAGTAGGAGACCGGTGAAACACGCGCATGCGCCCTTTCGACTGTAACGACACGCTGATAAGGTTGGAGTTGTTGATCAAGGACGACTGCTCAGGTCTTGTGATTGGTGCTATACATGGCGCATATCCGCGGATCGTCTGTGTACTTCGCAAATCTGAAGACATGGTCTGCCACTATGAGAACGACAGCGTATCATCCAAGAGCCGCTGCAACTAATAGGCATTGTAAGCGGTTGAACTTGGCCAAGACCCCGGAATCGAAATCGTACAAGTTCGTGGTGGAGTGAGGTCGGACCCCATCAACCAGCTTGGCCGTACTTCTCCAGAGAAGAGGACTAAAACTGTCATCCTTCTCAAGAAGAAGTTTGACAGTCGTTAGAAGCAGAATCCTGATCCATACGATGGTAATGTTCCCATATCGAGCGAGGACACTGTCGTGACCGCCACGGGCTTGCGTCGCTATCCTCATGGAGACAGTCACAAATCTCGTTGTTGACGGCGCACCAACATGCGGAGCATGCGAACAGTTGTATTTAGGCGCTCTCGTGGGCATGTGCAAAAAAACGTAGTGCGAGCATACCATTATTGTTGAATACGTCGTACGCACAGCAGAGTTGACTCCGGGCATACCACGATTCGCGATGCCATATGCTCGAGAAGACTTCAAGCAACGCGAAAGCTTGCGCCGCCTTCGATCACGGGAGCTCTGTAAAGAGTTCCCGAGTGTTATCGAAGAAGTCACTTCAATTCCGAGGTCCAGACACTTTCACGGGCGCCCAGATGTATTGGAACACATGGGCGGGACACTAGCCGGAGAGGATGTCTTTTTCAGCGTGTTCGTGTACCAGAAGAACGTAGACGAGGAAGCTCTTGCATCGAGTCTGTGGGAGAGACATGTGGCGTAGGATCCTTCAGCAAAGTAGTATTTCCTATCAGAGCTACGAAGCTCATAAGTTGAGATTTGATCGCCTTACATCAATTGGGATGGAAGATGTTGATTGAGTAGGAAAATGGACCGCGCTGTTCGATGTTGTCGTGAACAAGGAGGCTGCTCGGAATTTCGCCGAACTTCGTCCCCGAAGCTCACTTCCGCTGCTGTCCCAACCCTCCTGCATCTACGCAGCACTCTCTCTGCCAATTGACAGCTCACTGCCGCCATGCCTCCGACAAGCTTAAGCAGACTTCTCACGCGCCACTCGTATGTCTGTCAGAGATGCGCGAGATCCTTCCACAAGTCCGCATCACAATCCCGTCAACAGAGCGCGCTTAGCCTACTCGAGGAACGAGGTCTCGTCAACCAGATCGCAGGGTATCAGTCATCACTCACAAAGAATCGCGTCCCATAGGCTAAGGTAAGTCTCAGTGACCGCGATGCTCTCAACAAGCTCCTCGAATCCCGCAAAGTAGGTTTCTATGCCGGCATAGATCCCACCGCTCCTTCTCTTCACCTCGGCCACCTTCTCCCTTTTATGCCACTTTTCTGGCTGTACTACCACGGTCATCACGTTGTCAGCTTGGTAGGCGGCGCGACCGCCAAAGTGGGAGATCCCTCCGGCAGATTGACGAGCAGAGCGAAAGCCAACGAGGATGCGATTCAGAAGAACTTCGAAAGCATGTTTGGGCAAGTACAAGGATTGTGGGGGAATGTGCTCAAATATGGAGAGCGACATGGGTTGCACCAGAAGGAGCTTGGGAAGAAAGAGGTGTTGAACAATGCTGAATGGCTCGATGGGTTGAATGTGCTCAAGTTTCTGCGGATGATGGGTAATGGAGCACGATTGGGCGCTATGTTGAGCAGAGACACTGTCAAGAACAAGATGGAGAAGGGAGACGGCATGAGCTTTGCTGAGTTCACGTATCCGTTGCTGCAAGCGTGGGATTGGTGGCAGATGTATGAAGAAAGAGGCGTTCAGATTCAGATTGGAGGTGGGGATCAGTACGGCAATATCATTGCGGGTGTCGATGCGGTCAAGTATATCGCGTCATCGCACGCGCAAGATGGTGCTACTACGACTTGCCTGGACACGGAAGGCCGATTGAAGGATGAGCATTTACCAATGGGAGTAACAGTACCACTCCTGACTACAAGCAGCGGCGAGAAATTCGGGAAGAGTGCGGGCAACGCGGTCTGGCTGGATCCCTCGATGACGAAGCCATTCGACCTGTACGGCTTCTTGTTGCGATCAGCAGATGACGATGTGGAGCGATATCTGAAGCTGTTCACGTTCGTACCTGTACAACAGATAGCAGAGGTCATGACCGAGCAACGAAAGGATCCCGGGAAACGAAAGGCACAACACTTACTTGCGAGCGAAGTGCTGGAACTCGTGCATGGAGCAGAAATCGCCAAAATTACTCGGGCAGAACATGAAGCTTCGAGAAATCCAACACTCGCATCTCTGATGCGATCGACAGATGCTGATCAACCTTCGGCACAAGACACAGCTTCTAGAATAAAGTTACCCAAGTCGCTGGTACACGAGACGCCTTTCTCACGAATTTTGTATCACGCCGGACTTGTTGGGACAAAGTCGGAGGGGGCTCGAACAATCAGTAAAGGCGGCGTATATGTTGCGAAGGCAGCATCACAGTCGACACTCGCAGAAGGGGGCCAATTGCAGTTCGTGCCTCTGCAGAAGGAACAACATGTAAACGATGTTATCACCAACGGGCTCCTTGTTCTACGACTTGGAAAGTGGAAAGTTCGCGTCATCGAAATTGTCGACGACGCTGACTTTGAAGGTGATGCACCAGGCTGGGAAGAGTGGAAGACTGCGAGATATGTCAAGCAGTAGAAGCATCGCCATTATCTCCACGATCGTGAAATTGCGGACCAAGCTATCATCGATGCTGAATTGTCTTGCAACTTGAAACACGAAAAGCTTGAAGCAGCCATGTCTGGACGGCAGATCGAACAGGGGAGGGCCCAGGAAAGTTCGATGCAAGAAACTTGACATGGCGTGGCGTTTCATTAACCAAGACTTACTACCTTAAGACTTCTTATGCTGAGCTTCATCCTCTGCTTTCCCAACTTCAGGCTCGCGGCTGAAGTCAATATGTCAGAAACGAATGGCGGCTTGTACTCACCAAGCAGTCCGCGGAGACATCAGCAGCAGAAGCCAAAGCTCCCGCCTCGACAGTACCAGCCGATCATCAACGCCAGACCACGAACACCTCAAGGACTGAACGGCCACCCTGTACCGGACACTTCGCATCTCGCGCCGCCACCACAGCGCTTAAGCCAACTTGACGTTCAAAGCGAACCTTCAGCAACCGACTATAAGAGAGATCTTCGGAACTTAACAGCATACCTGATTCCTTACCCGAAACCGCATCTCAAAGGCGTGGCACCCGAGGACATACCACACCGCTTCCTCGTCTACACGCCTCCTCCTCCGCCTTTCCACACGAAACCTCCAGAAGGCAAACGAGAAGGCGTCACGCAATGGACCAAACGCCACTGGTACAAGGAGCTCCGCGAAGCCAAGATGCGGGATCCTCCGAATGGCAAGGCGACCAAGTGGAAACGGCTCAAATGGAAAGGAACGAAAGCGACAGACTGGGGAATTCGAAAAGTCAAGTCTTCGAATTTGGAGTTCTTGAATCGTGTGGCGGGGTTGCAGGATGAGGCTGATAGGCTTGCTGAGGATGTTTATCATCGATCTGTTGCTCCAGAGGAGATTCGACTGATCTATCCGCCCGCGATGAGTGAGCTCGAAGATCTGGATGAGGAGGCGTTGAAGAGAGAATTTCTGGCTTCGATGGAGAGGACGAAGAGAAAGGCGTATAAGCATTCGGTGTATGCGACGTTGTTGATGCCTCCTGCGTTGGTGTTTGATACGGTCATTGTGCCTGTTTGGCCATTTGGTGGGGCGGCGGAGGTGGATGCTGTGTGGTTGTATGCTTCTGTGAGAGGAGCGAAGACGTCGAGAGATGTGATGAAGAGACTAGATGGCGAGGAGAAGAAGAGGAAGAAGAAAGGCAGTCGCTTTTCTTCGTCAAAGAAGAAGAAGGGCAACGAGGAGGAGAAAATGAATGAGCCGGAAACGAATGGCCACGGCGAACCTTACCAGCATAGCCATTCTGGTACCTCGCCGCCCTCCACAACAATACAGGACTCTGATGCACAGCAGCAGCGAAACCACCACAAAGCTTCCTCCAAGAAGCACAAGTCTCCTCTCAACCTCACTTTCATCCCCTCTCCCCGCATCTCCCTCCTCGAACAATACCTCGCCTCAGCCTGCCACAAACACAACCCGGACCTCTTTCCAATCTACAACTCCCCACCCAGCGAAACCCAAGTCCTCGAAGCCATCGGCTGGTCACACAGCGATCAAGATCCTGCGTATACCCTAAATCGAAATCCAAGTCGACAAACCAACGCCACAACTCCCAACCACGGCGAGCCTGGGAACTCAAATGCAGACCACCGCACGGATAATAGACCCACGTCTACTGGAAGCAGAAGAACTGCAAGTCGAGGAAGAGAAAGAGAACGAGATGCGGGCAGAGCAGGAGGTCTGGCGCAAAAGGCTATGAGTTGGGATGATGAGCAGTGGGAAATTTTGCAAGTCAAGGATGATTTGAAGGATGTTTTTGGCAAAGGGGCGAAAGAGTGGGGAAAGTGGTGTTTGTTGTGGAAGAGGAAGCCAAGGAAGGCGGAGAAGAGGTGAGGGTGAGGTTCTGCTTTGGTGGAGGAGCAAGAGTGTGCTGTATATGGTGGGAAGAGATTATTGCAAATGCGAGATAAACATAGAGCAGAGATGGAGCTAGGATCCGCAGCTTTTGTGTTATCTTGCTCCTGGGGCCTCTTGAGTCTCGAAGCTTAGTCCCATCAAACCAGATTCGGACAATCCATCGCCCCCACACCCTTCACAACCATCATACCTTCTACAAAACTCGGTTTCGTCTTTAATGTCCATCCTACACAGCGATTCCACAAGACCTCTACACCTTCTCTTTGTCTCTGCCAAATACAGGTTCCAGCCACTCCCAATTCACTAACCACCTCTCCTTTGAAGGCTCTGTCACCAGCCAGTAACAGCGACCCTTGCGTTTCATTGGGCGGTTCAATTCTTCTCATTAAGATGAATTTCTTCCATTCTTCTTCTTTCAAAGTTTTCAGATAAGCCGGTATAGCTTCACCATAAACATTATGCCCTCCGCCATCACCGTTCGCTTTGAGAACATAGTTTGCAACTCTCGTGGGACCGGAGATGACGCCTACCCAGTCATTCCTCGACGGAGGTGAGTCGATTGAGAGCATTTCCACAAAGGTATTCTTGAGTGCAGGGATCTCCTTCGTTGAGGCGGAAGTAGCATCGAGCGACGATGATCTCGACAAGAACTTTTCCACGACCCCCTCTTTCGTCAAAGCCTGCTGCACAGTCTTACATGTCGTCAAATGCGTCGCGATGTCGGGGCATTTGATGGCACGGGAAAGTTCGATGCGGAGGCGGGAGTCCATACCGGAAGGGATGTGGAGGTATTCGTGAGGTTGGTAGCCGGCGCGGTAGTAGACTACGCTGACTTGGAGGGGTTCCTGCTTGTTGGGAGGATGGAAGAGGAGGGTTCTGTTTTGGTCGCTGAGAAGTTGGGTACGCGTTGAAATATCTTGCCACTCGCAGCGGTAGCAGGGGATGTTCCGAGACCAGAGAGCGTGCTCGATTGGTCTTTCGTCTGCAATGTTGAAGTTTGTGGGTTGGACGATCAAGAGGATGCATATCTTCGGCTGTGGAACTGGTGATGCTTCGGTGCTTGGAAGAGCTTCTTCATTTCGGGTAGATACAAGCTGATGGCAGTAGATCCTGTTAGCTTCAGCTAGCATGTCCGCTATACCGTCGACATTCTTGTTCTTTGGCAGGTCTGCTGAGCTACCGCATGTTTGCTGTATGTGCTGATGCATGTTGGCGACATTTTGAGCATGTGAGAAACCAGAAGCGGAGAAGACGTTCATTTCTACTTGCTTGAGCGTGGAGTCGTGGGAGTCAATCATGTAATCGGATCTGAAGATGCCGCAAACGACATGTTGCTTTGAGCCTGCATTTCGCACCTGCTCGTAGATCTTCCACAAGCTGGCTACTAGTGGGTCATGCTCGATCAAAGGCGAGAGGACTCCACGGAGCCAATCATGGTCGCTCGCCACTCGCAGATACAGCTCATTGAACAGAGGCTGGAGTTCTTGTGCTTGTTTGAAGAGGTGCTTGGGAAATGGAGTAGGCAGTATGCTCACGGCCAGAGGCCTTGTGGTCCATGGAAGATTTGTCTCTGATACTTGGCAGGCACAGAGTGTACTGGGTTTCTTGGAGATGCGATGCCATAGCTGATTCAGCCGACTTGGATTGTGCGAGCCGGATTCGAATCCTTTCAACAGCATGCCATGGGTGAGTCTGTAGTCTTGTATCTCCTGGATGCGGTGCTCTCTCTCCTCTTCTGTCACCCCCGTCATGTTTGGCAGCTGTTCCTGCTTGTCATCTTAGCGAAGCGTTGTGCGACACTTATTCTACGGGTTGCGATGTGTTACATGGAATATCAGGCTGAGCCACACCAGAGGCTGTTGGTATGGAGAATGGACAAGGGATGTATGGCCATTGGCGTGGCTTTCCTTGAGCACTAACGGAAGTCGCTGTATGCTTGACGCCTCGGTCACACTGACTGGCTTTTGGGATTGCTTCTAATGCAAGTTGGGGAGCGTTTGACCACAGACTCGTCTCATCATCTGCCACCGTGCAGGATCGACTGCAGTCTTCCACTAGCTGCTCGACGTGGGCGAATAAACTTACTTGACGATGCGCAACGCTGTGAGAGGATGGGTGGCAGGCCTGCAGACATGTGGTCGATGCTGCCACGGGTGTCCTTCTCACCTTCGGCGCGTTGAGCTGGCAATCGCGGTAGAGCGCGTGCCTGCACAGAACACGATGTCCGTCTATCGGCGAAGTGGCAGTCGCAACGCCAAAAGTGCATACCGCTCTCTCTGCAAAGTCGACTCGTGTTGAGCGACCAAGCCGTGGCTAAGCGTGAAGCAGCCGGATCCGAGCCGATATCGCTGGCAGTGCTCTGGGCGCAGGGCAGCGCGTGCTCCGGTCTCTGCCGAGAACAGCCATAGAGCCTCGGGCTTGTCGAAGCTTTGACGTTGGCAGAAGGGCAGCGTGTTGTGCGTGTTGACGTCGAGAGCTCCAGCGATTTCTCTTATCCAGCACGCAGCATTGTCCATTGGCCTCTGCTACAACTCTTCAAAGGTCTCCAGCACCACTTCATCCTCTCCACTCCACACACCGCTGGACATTGTCGGTGCAATGTCGTCGTTGGCAGCACGAAACTTGCTCCGAAGCTCGTCCAGAAGCATAAGCCGGAGCACCAGCAGCAGCACTACAAAAGCTCCACTCGCTGCAGCATCGAGGCTCTCCTTTGCTGCCTCCCAACGCACAGCTCCCATCCGTCTGCAGAACACCGCCAGAGCATTCTCTACCACCATGTCCAAACACACAGATCTCGGCCGCCCGGGCAAGGCACCCGAATTTGACCCAGAAATCAAGGACATGGCAGACTACATCCACAACTACAAGATTGACTCGGATTTGGCTGTAGGAACTCTCATACACTGTGTACACAAATTCGGACTGACCAAAAATGTATAGATCGACACTGCCCGCTTTGTCTTCCTCGATACCATCGGTTGCGGTCTCCGCGCTCTCGAATTTCCCTCCTGCACAAAATTGCTCGGCCCAGTCGTCGAGGGCACCACCGTCCCCAATGGCACCCGCGTGCCCGGTACACCATACGTCCTCGACCCAATCAACGGTGCTTTCAACATTGGAGCCATGATCCGATGGCTGGACTTCAACGACTGCTGGCTCGCAGCTGAGTGGGGTCACCCCTCAGACAACCTGGGAGCCATCCTCGCTGTGGCAGATTGGGCAAACAGGTCGAACAAGAACGGCGTCAAGGTGGGCAATGGCAAGCAGTTCACCATCCACGACGTGCTCGAGGGCATGGTCAAGGCACACGAAATCCAGGGTTGCTTGGCTCTGGAGAACAGCTTCAACAAGGTCGGTCTGGACCACGTCGTCAATGTCAAGGTCGCCTCCACCGCTGTCGTCTCCAAGATGCTCGGTTTGAACCCAGAGCAAACCAAGGCTGCCATCTCCCAAGCCTGGGTTGACGGCCAATCTCTCCGTACATACCGCCACACCCCCAACACCATGTCCCGCAAGTCGTGGGCTGCCGGTGATGCCTGCCAGCGCGCCGTCGACATGTGCTTGAAGGTCCTCCGCGGCGAGGGTGGTGTCCCCACCGTCCTCTCCACTCCAGTCTGGGGTTTCTACGACGTCAACTTCGGCGGCAAGAAATTCGAGTTCCAGCGCCCATACGGCAGTTACGTGATGGAGAATGTCCTCTTCAAGGTCTCCTACCCCGCCGAATTCCACTCGCAAACCGCCGTCGAAGCCGCCGAGCGTCTCCACCACAAGCTCAAGAAGATGGGCAAGAGCGCCGAAGATATCGAATCCGTCACCAACCGCACACACGAGGCTTGCATTCGCATCATCGACAAGCAGTTCAAGCCCATGGACAACTACGCCGATCGTGACCACTGCGTCCAATACATGGCTGCCACCATGCTTGTTTTCGGCCGCTTGACTGCAGACGACTACACTGACGGTGGTGAGGCTGCTGAGTCGCCGCTCGTCGAATCTCTCCGCCAGAAGATCAAATGTGTGGAAGACCCACAATTCACCAAGGACTACCATGACCCAGAGAAGCGAACCATCTCGAACGCTTTGACCGTGACCTTGAAGGACGGCACGGTCTTGCCAGAGGAGGTCATCGAGGCACCACTTGGCCACCGACTCCGAAGAGAAGAGGCCAAGCCAATCATCTTGGAGAAGTTCAAGAACCACATTGCACCACACTTCTCTGCGGAACACACAAAGAAGTTGGTCGACCTGGGCAACGACCCTAAGACACTGTACCAGATGCCTGTGGATGAGTATATGGATTTGTATGTCAAGGATAAGATCCTGTAGATTGGAGTAGGAACAAAAGAATGTCGAGATCCTGGCCGAGGACTATCTTGATGATTGACGAAAAAGTGGGATTATGAGGGAAAATCCGAAAAACAGAAAAATATAAGAAGGGTCAACCAAACGTTCGTGTGCATGGCCCTCTCTGTTGTTATTTACCTGTCCCGAAATGGAAGGAAAAAATATGTTCATAGATTTGATAGCAGTCCGTCAAATTGATCGACAAGCAAGAACCTGTATTTCCACCAAGATTTCCCGAGTCGAAATTTGTACACCTTTGAATATAAAGCTTCTAGAGCAAAGAAGAGGAAGAAGCTAATCATACACGCCAGACTAACACAGCTAACAAACATGCAAGGCCATAGCATATATATCATGTCGTACCCCTTCTTGTTGATGTATTGTCCCTCCCATTGCCATTCCATCATAATTTCATTTCCATCCTTCCGTAATCATCACATTAAAACAAAATAGCATCCCATCCCGACGAATAGCCGCGTCGTACAGTTTCCTGAAGAGGAAAGAAGCAATGGCAAAGGAGAAGGCGCCGTGTGTGTGTCCGTCGCTCATCCCAGTCCTGTACCAGCAACAACGACAATATGCTTACAGTACCCCTTGATTTGAAGTCGCCTCGCCAACCACCCCTGTCGGCCCAGCAGTTTCAGCGAGAGAAGCAGCAGTAGGAGCGGCAGGAGCAGCAGCAGGAGCAGCAGAAGAAGCAACACTCCATGCAATCCTCTGCATGACCTTCACGAACGCCTCGTCTAACTCCGTCCAGTCTGTAGCCCACCCGTAATCGACGACGGTCTTTTGGAAGGATGCGATCAAAGCTTGGATGAGTGCTTCGATGGTCATTTCGTGACCTTGGTATGCGTGAAGAAGTTCTCGCCATTCGCGCCAGACGCATTTGGACATTGCGCGACAACGGATCGGGAGGGGAGGGAGGTCTTCTTTCGACAGGAGTTTTGTTTCCATTCGATACATCGTGCCGAGGAGCTCGTCGGCGTTGATGGTTATGGTAGTTATGGTGGGAACTGGTGGCGGATGCCGGTCCTGTATGGGTCGCCTTGGAGGAGAATGTGGTCTCTTGTCGGCACGGAAGGTATCGAGCATTGGAGATGGCGGCGATGGCGTTTTGACTCTTGACGGCGGTTCAGGCGATACCGACTTGACGCTGGACGCTGTCGTGTAGGCTTGCTCATCGTTGCGACGTCGGTGCGATTCGCTAGAGTGGTTGTAATCCCGCAGCTGGTAGGACAGGTTCAGGTCGGCGGCTTGGTTTCTGAGTGGACTGCGTCTCTGCAGGCACCAAGTGCGGCTGCCTTGCGAGCCGGATGATGTCGTCGATGTCGTGCTTGTCGTGTCCTGTGAGGTTCGGGGCGCCGCATCGTGTCGCGTCAAAGCGGCCAGTCGGTTGGAAAGCTCCTGCACGTCTGGACTACGTGCCCTGAAGTAATATCCCGACTTCGGTATAGGTAAGCTCTGCGGGGTGCCAATCTCGTGTGACGTGGAATTACGTTCGGTAGAGCCTTTGGTCGGAGTGACGGTGTTAGAAGTGTTGGAGTCACTCGTCCAGTCTCGCTTGAGTTGTTGCCGGCAATCAGGGCATAAAGAGCTTCGTCCGAGCCATGTGTAGATGCAAGAGAAGCAGTATGTGTGCTTGCACACCGTGACGACTGGCCCGCGCACTCCTTCTCGACAGATGTTGCAAATTTTGTCGTAACCTTGTGTTCGGTCTCCGGGTTCGAGGCCATACTCGATGAAGAGTGCGGCCGCTTGTCGAGGCCGCGACTTCTTCTTGCGACCTCGCCACGCGAAGAACGAGGTCGAGCGCGGAGAGAGTGCTCTTGGTCGCTCTTCTTCATGGCTGACGGGTGTATACTGGGCAGTAAGCATGTCATTTGCCGGCTCTCCCGCGGCGGAGTGTTTCATACTTCGGGTGGTAAGCGTTCAGAGTCGCTCTGCGAATGTCAGGACATCTGGAGAAATGCGACCACACAGTCTACCAGTGTACCAGTTTATCCGTTTCCGGGCATCTGAACAAACGGTAATACGAACACATGCGAGGATGAGGGGTTTCAGTCAATTCGTTGTAGGGAAGCACATGTCAACTTCCTGGGAAGATCTCGGTTCCATGGCTGAGGCTATCGTGCAGGCGCCCAAAGAGACCATGGGTTCTGCATATAAGCCCAGCGAGCGTTGAACACTGTTTGGCGCGTAAGTACCAAGATTAGTGATTGAAATTCTTCCTGTCGACCACAGAGATCCGGCCGTAGCGTTCTCCTTCGCTGCTCAATTAGCATCGAAAGTCAAACATTTATTGAACATTGGTTCGTATACCGCAAATCCTGGGCTGTGGAGTTGACACCGGATCGAACGAAAACCCGCATGCTCGTCGCGAGCACCGAGGGACTGGTTGCGAATCCAGGCATCCTTGAAGCGTGTCGAACTTTGTCAGCACTCTTTCACTCAGTAGTGGCTGGTTGGATTGCGTCTTGCTAAGCGGCGGGCGGCGAGGTCCGAGTATAGTTCACGTCCGGCACTGCTTACCGATGCCTGTCGTCGTATGCGAATCAAATTACTAGTCATGTACAGAGTACTCAGGAACGGTGAATGTTCTTTGGCCTGATACAGATGCGCCATCCAGAATACGCGAACTTGGCTGTACCTGCCTTGGACCTGCAAAGACAACGTGGGAATGCCTGCGTGAAGATGTCGCTCATCCAGGATGGCGCCACACGTTCTCAAGTGAGGCGGTCCCGGGCGGATGAGCGTTTAAGTCCGGTGGAACGCCTCGTTACGGTCGCGTTTGCGAGGTATTGCGTGCATCACCAGTGGTGATTGCGATGTTGGCGAGATGGCAGGTTCGGGAAGAAGCGTAGGAAGTGGTCAGTCTCGCATGGCTAGGCATGGCTTATGTAAGTCTCAGGCCGGTCCTTCCCCATTGAAACCAACCCATTGGGGCATGTACAGCCGAGGGTATCTATCGATACGATGTTTCGCCATGATGCTATGGAGCTGCCATTGTGACATGGCTGTGTACTACCAGCAGAAATGTGAACACTTTTGCTGTGACTTTCTTCACAGACATTACTCGCAGCCATGAAGTCAATTCTCAACACCGTCTCCAGGACGCCCGCCCTTCGCAGCCAGATTCGTCGAACGAACCACCTCAGACTGCTGTCCAGCACTGCTTCGAGGAACGCCCACCAGGTCCCTCCACTCGCAGACAAGACGCTATTCAAAGAGCAATGCTATATTAATGGACAATGGGTAAATGCCCGAAGCGGCAAGAGCTTCGAAGTTCACGACCCAGCAACAGGAAAAGTCATTGGCACCATGCCTGAGATGAACAAGGACGACACCAATGATGCGATCCAAGCGGCATCCGATGCTTTGGTTTCGTTTCGAAAGACTACTGCGAGACAAAGGGCGGATATCCTCAGAAAGTGGTACAATCTCCTGATCGAGAACAGCGAAGATCTGGCAAGGTTGATTACCTGGGAAAACGGCAAGCCCTTCACAGATGCCAAAGGCGAAGTCGCCTATGCTTCGAGCTTTTTCAACTGGTTCAGCGAAGAAGCACCGCGACTAACAGGGGACACGATACCAGCTACTGTCGCAGGAAATAGGGTGTTCACCGTGAAGGAACCTGTTGGAGTTTGTGGACTGATTACACCATGGAATTTCCCAGCAGCCGTGAGACTGAAGGAAACAATGAGTATTACGCAAGCCCTAACATTTCTGTAGATGATCACGCGTAAAATCGGACCGGCACTTGCAGCAGGCTGCACAGTAGTCGCCAAGTCTCCCGGCGAGACACCTTACACCGCTGCCGCTATTATGGAGTTGGGTCACCGGGCCGGGATCCCAGCTGGTGTTGTCAATATTGTTACATCACTCGAGAATACGCCCGAAGTGGGCGAAGCGATTACATCGAGCAACATTGTCCGAAAGGTCTCCTTCACTGGATCCACCGCAGTGGGCAAGCTGTTGATGAAGCAATCTTCCGACACCCTAAAGAAATTGTCCTTTGAGCTTGGCGGCAATGCTCCTTTCATTGTCTTTGATGATGCAGATCTCGAAACTGCTGTCAACGGCGCTATTGCGAGCAAGTTCCGTGGCAGTGGTCAAACCTGCGTGTGCGCCAACAGAATCTATGTGCAAAAGGGCATTTACGAGGAATTCACAAAAGCTTTCACGGAGAAGGTGAAGAACTTCAGTGTCGGTCATGGGTTTGACGAGGGCGTCACTCATGGCCCGCTTATTCACGATCGAGCAGTCAGAAAAGTGCAATCGCATGTTGATGACGCTGTACAGAATGGCGGCAAAGTTCTTGCTGGTGGAAAGGTGCTGTCGGAGCTGGGACCCAACTTTTACGCGCCTACTGTCATTCGTGACATGACGAAGCAGATGAAGATCTCGTCCGAGGAGACATTTGGACCTGTCGCAGCGCTTTTCCCATTCGAGACTGAGAAAGAAGTTGTTGAGCTGGCCAATGCTGCTGAAGTCGGACTTGCAGGCTACTTCTTCTCTAAGGACATTCAGAGATGTTACAGAGTGGCGGAGCACCTGCAGTTCGGCATGGTTGGCATCAACACAGGCATCATTTCGGACCCTGCAGCACCTTTCGGCGGCGTGAAGCACAGTGGTTTTGGACGCGAAGGATCAAAATATGGTATCGATGAATACATTGTGGTCAAGACGATGACTTTGGGAGGTGTTGGAGATTTGCAGGGCTGAAGCGAAGGTTTCGCAAGAAATAACGCGAAAGGATGCATCACGAATGATGGTCGGGCACTCCGAGGAGAGCCTTTGTACAAAGGCAGCATAACTAAAAGCGAATGTGTATCAATACCTGAGCAGTTTCGAGCCTACTGAGGTTTTCCCATGCGATGAATATGTGGCACTATGTCCCCTGCTACACCCGAGAGACGAATTGCATTCACGCGAATTCGAGCTCCTTCATATTGCACGACGTTCTACTGCACACCTTCGCATCTTCATCTTTGCACTTTCCCACCTTGCGGGCATACCATGGGCAATCACGATGACGAACTTCGGGTCCACTTTCCGAACGTTACCTCCATACATTTAGCCGCCACCACAGACTCCGTGTCAGCTACCAAAACCCCGACAACATCCAAGAAAACAGCAAATCCACCGCAAGCAAGAGCAACAGAAACAAGAAAGATGCCTCACGAAATTAAAAAGTACAAGATCACCTCCCCATACCTTCCTATTTCATGCGGCCTGGGCGAGGCTCCCTTTTACGAAGCTTCTACGAACTCCCTACGCTTCGTCGACATCGTGAAAGAGAAGCTTCACACGATCGACTTGAAGGAAGGACCCGGCTCGCACAAGGAATGGGATCTTGTGTATTCGATCGGGACGACGGCGGACATCGAAGGCGAAGATGGAAGTGAGAAATTCATATTCGGCGGCAAGAGCGGGTATGGAATCTTCGATAAGAAGACGGGAAAGATGAGGATCTTGAAGGAGTTCTGGACAGAAGCAGAAAAGAAGGATGATGGGGGCGGGAAGCCTGGTGAGTTTTCGATCTCAATCGCTATTAACTGTGAGACACACACACATCAGACTAACATCAATCTGCAAATTCCAGGCAAAGGCTCCTCCCTTGCCCACCGCATGCGCTCCAACGACGGCGCAGTCGACACCAAAGGCCGCTTCTACGTCGGAACAATGAACGACCCAGCGGTTCTAGGCTCCAAACCTTTCACCGACGAAGGTATAATTTTCCGCTTAGACCCGGACCTCAGCATGCACCGCGTAAAATCGAACGTCACAATTCCAAATGGAACGTCCTGGTCTCTGAATGACGATACCATCTACTTGACCGATTCTCCAATAGGAGAAATCAGACAATACCCTTACAATCCCGGCACTGGTGAAATCCGGTTCGATGAAGGCAAGACATTCTTCAAATGTCCTATTGAAGGTGGAGTGCCGGATGGGCATTGTCAGGATGAAGAAGGCCATTTCTGGGTTGCGCTGTTTGGGACAGGGAAAGTCGTTCGAGTTGATCCGAAGGGTGAAATTGTGGCTGAAGTAGATGTTCCGACGAGATGTGTGACTTGTCCGGAGATCTGCGGTACGGAGCTATTCATTACGACTGCAGAGGAGGAGGAACCGGAGAAGTATCCATGGAGTGTGAAGTATCAGGGAGGCTTGTTTAAGGTCGATGTAGGCGTTAAAGGGTCGAAGAGGAATAAGTTCAGATTGGAGAAGGGGGTTGAGTTGTAAAAGGAAGAGTAGCTGACTGCGTTGATTGAGGGGGGCAATGATGGACCATGCTGTTTAATAGTATGGTCCACCAAGTCGTGTGCTATCTAGATAGCAGCTTGTATGCCTCGAAGTATCTCGGAGAAGGACCAGACTTGGCATGGGAATTTTTGTGGATGGTACAATAGAAGACAGAATGTGCCTACAGCCTCGTCCACTAGTCCATGGTGCGGCGCGTTCCCGTAACCTACATTTCTAGAGCTCATGCAGAACGATACCATGATTGTTCCTGCCGTATGAGTACTGCCTCTCGACAACTATAGTCGAATCGGTAGCAACCAGTCGTTGAAGTTATCGATTCTCTGCATGTTCTCGCCCCCTAGCTGCTTACCCAGCATGGAACCACTGCTGGAGTAGTCTCTCGTCGCTTACTTCACGGGCCCACGATCGGAGAAGAGAGCGGAGCTGTCGAACAGTCCCGAGTAGCAGGCCTCCGTCTAAGCTATAGATGTGCCAGACGGTGACTTGAAAGGATAATTGCCGAGTATATCGATCTTCGCTATTATCGCACATCCTCGTAGAGTGCAAAAGTCGGATAGGGATACAGATGATTGGCCTTGTACTAGCGGGCTCTTGGATGATCTGTCTTGCCATATCGTAGAAGTGCTGCTATATCGCTATACAGTCTAGTCCTTCGCGAAAGCCCTATTGCTAGGATAATACCCAGTCTAGGTCGTGTGGATAGAGGTCTTCGAGCGAGTGTGAATTTAAAGCAGGCGCTAGACGAGGGAAAGACAGCATGCGCTTTATACGGTTTGCAGTATTCGGTAACAGCTCTGTGTAGAACTAGTCAACCTTCTCGGCCCTGCTGAGGCGCTGAAACGCTTCTGTAGTCGCGACAATAAGCGCCTCGCGTGATTACTATAATGGTATTGGGTAGAGCCAGCTAGGATTGGAGTGCCTTGCCGGAGTACATCATCTAACTGGTGCAGAATTGCTCGTTCTTCGGTGCTGGCCTATAGTAGCTCGTCTGCTCCCTCTTCGCCAAGCTCCAGCGATATGTCTCGTTTGTCGTATTCGCTGTCTGACAGCAGCTCGTCCGCTTCCTTTTTGTCGAACTCTAGCGACACGTCCCCTTTCGGTGTAGAGTTGAAGCAGGTCGCAGGCGTGTAAGTCAGGCTAATCGGAGATGCAGAGGAAGTCGTCGCAGGCGTGGCCGTAGAGTCTGGTAACGATTCCACAGAGGCCAGAAACAGTGCCAGGCGACCAAGATCGGCTATTCTCAATCTGGGAAATGTTCTTTTCTTTAAGCCCTAACGTAAAATGTGCGTTACATCTCGGCTTTCATTCGTGGCCTGTTGCTACTGTGCGTGGTATCAATGGGGTCCTATATTCTGTGAGCTAACGGATGTCCATGCGCTAATGCGCCTCGTGCAGTAACACTCCAATCTTGCATGAGAGAAGCGTCCGGATGCACTCCTGAACCAGAGACACAACATCTGAGTGCTGCAGTATGATTTGCAGCCAAGTCATCATGTTCCCTCGCAGGCATCGATGAGGCCGGTAGACTATTGCCTGTTCGTGGGGAAGCACTCCGGACGCAGCGCACCATCGTGGTCCTTGCGCCGCTCTTCGCGTGCGCTTTCATGATTACGCTGTCAGCGAGAGGCTCTGGCGCTTGGTAGACGCTCATTTCCATGGGCCAGGTGGAATCGAAGCTGCCGCCGGATCGCTTTCGATCCCGCCGCTTCATAGATGAGGGTCCGGGTCTCCACGAGACTTTTAGGGGCATGGTACACTAGCTTCATACCTTTCGAATTTGTTCGGATTCGACATTGCGGAGAGCGATGTATCGACACTTGCAGTCGCCTGGCTATACTAGATGTTTGTCAACAAAGTCTACCAGACGAACTGCACAATAAGGCACCGTTGTCTACATCTGACTGCATCTGTCGAATAAACTCGGGATCACCATCGTCCCTGAACGGCCAGATCTTCACGTCAAGGTTCAATGTGGAAAGTTTCGGGCTGTTATGAACCCTGGAATGTGGAAAGCAGGGAGCGTGTCAGGTCGTGAGAAGGCGCAGAGGTCGGTAGGCTACTTTATGTTCGTCTTGGCGACGGGGGGTAGGCGATGCGGAGTGGTAGGTTTGGTATCTTGTACAGGGGCTTCAGCATTGCAAATGGCGTTCTCGTGTCCGTGCAAGCTATGCTCGTAGTGACGCGGGATTGGTGACTGTGAGACTCGTTCGAAGCGTGTCCGCAAGCCCGGCATATTTTTCGACAACGAATCTGAGGTGATTTGGGAAATATTAAGTCGCCAGTTACCCAACGATGCGTTTGAACGGCAGGCAGGGGATTGTTGGCTCTGTTGATTGGTATGAACAAGACGATGAAACAAGTGTCTGTCCTGAGTTTGAGGGTCCAAAAGTGCTCCCGTCTTGTCTTCTTGCGGAGAGAAGCACTTCCATGTACTCGCGTGCCGGGAAGAGGCGAGGATTTAAGACTTGCGCTGTGGAGACCACGCAGAGAAGATGATGTGCATGCTCGGTAACGCCCATCACTGCGCACTTGGGTGTATGCCTAGCATTGCATCCGTTCAGGAACCGGAGGCCAGACTCCTGTCCCTCGGAGCCATCTGCACGACTTCACCCCGGCAGTCGTCAGTTGTACCTGCACGGGCGGCAGTCTCTCGCAGCGGCACTGTCCGGCCCAAGATGTGGCAGTAATGATGATGTCGTCGTGGCGATGGCGAGCGAGTGGCTGCGCGGAAATTGGGAGAGGCGTGGCGCCCGCTGGCTGTGCACCAGTTCGACCGACAACCAGTTTGTGCCCCAGGATCGGCGTCGTGGGCGAGTCGGACAAGCTTTGGCGGTGACGTCTGCGGCAGACCTGTCGCCAATCCTTTGTTGTTGCCGGAGCAGCCACACGGCGTTTGTCAGAATCACAGAGTACGACGCCTTGCGAGCAGAGAGGGCCCGAGCCAGAGCTACAGCCAAAGCTCTGCAGATGCGAAACAAGAAATAATGGATGGACAAAGCTCGACGAATGGCCGCAGCTGGAGCAGTGGGAGGAGCTGGCAGAGCTGGCAGTGGACGCGCGCGGCATCTCTGCAGCTTGAGCCTTGAGGAATAGTTCCCAATCGTGTGGTGCCGTGCCAACAATGATCTTCGAAAGCACGAGACACGTTCCGGCCTGAGCCACCACACTGCTCACTCGTGACATCATTCCGATAACCCCTGGCGAGACGTATACATACTCTAGAACTCCTCGTCGCCCGTCCAGCCACACATTGCTCTGTACAAACCCAGAACTCTTGCTTTGGCAGAATATACCACACATTAACCGCATTCACTCAGACCGTCAGCCCAGCATGCATCGCACATACTCTATGCGCCAGTCGCGCGCGCCGACCGCCTCGCAAATCCAAAACCCACCGCCACCGTCAGCTTCCACCAAGGGTGGTCGCCTCTTCGGCCGTGCCAACATTGGTATGTTAGAAGCAGAAATTGCGAAATGGGAGCGTTCAGCTAACAGCGAGTAAAGGCCACACATTCCGCAAGTCCGTCCACCCTGGCGCTTTCGGCCCAGACCTCGCAAAGAAGCTTTCGCAGCTGGTGAAGATGGAGAAGAACGTCATGCGATCAATGGAGCTTGTGGGCCGTGAGCGCATGGAGGTTGCTCAGCAGCTATCTTTGTGGGGTGAGGGTTGCGATGACGATGTTTCCGACGTTACCGACAAGCTCGGTGTCCTCATCTACGAAATCGGGGAGCTGGAGGACCAGTTTGTGGACCGCTACGACCAGTACCGCGTGACGATCAAGAGCATTCGCAACATCGAGGCTTCCGTCCAGCCCAGCAGAGACCGCAAGCAGAAGATCACCGACCAGATCGCACAGCTCAAGTACAAGGAGCCAAACAGCCCAAAGATTGTCGTGCTCGAGCAGGAGCTTGTCCGTGCTGAGGCCGAGTCGCTCGTTGCTGAGGCACAGCTGTCCAACATCACCCGCGAGAAGCTGAAGGCTGCCTTCACCTACCAGTTCGATGCTCTCCGCGAGCACAGCGAGAAGATGGCCATCATTGCCGGCTTCGGCAAGCACCTCCTCGAGCTCGTTGACGACACTCCAGTCACTCCCGGCGAGACCCGCAACGCTTACGACGGATACGAGGCATCCAAGGCTATCATCCAGGACTGCGAAGATGCCCTCACCAACTGGGTCGAGCAGAACGCCAAGGTCACCTCCAGCCTGTCCCAGCGCACTCGCACACTTTCGCAACGCCGCCGCAACAAGAACTCCGGCCACGACCTGGCTGACCAGGACCAGGACCGTGAGTCTGGCATGTGGGTGTCTGCTGAGCAGCACGGCGCTGGACAAGACTACGACGATGAGGACTCTGTCCGCGGACGTGAAGTCGCAGCATAAGCAGCCGATTGGAAAGATGTGTTCTTTGGAAAAGCAACGAGTGAAAGTTATATACCCTGGGAAAGCGAAGAAAGCGCGTAATACTGTACGAGCAGCACAGGATCACAGCCGAGCGACGACCTCACGAGTTTTTATATTTTATGGGAAATCAGCAGCGTCGTATATGATAATGTCTTTGACTGAATACCATTCCGCCATTTCTCATCTCATCTCTCATCCACTTCGCGTGTCAAGCTGACGCCCTGCTAGGATCATATCGTGGTGTCGCTCGCCCCTCCTCTGCGGCGGGCTTCGGCTTGTCGCCATCCGCACCTTCCGTCCAACGTCACCCGCACGGTCGAGCTGTCAGGCAGTAATTCTAGTCGTCAGGTCTCCGTGCAGATATACTTCTGGGCCCTACGATGTACTTCACACGAGCATCGGACTCCATTGCCGACGAGCTGTGGACAAGCTTTCCAAGTTGGGGGCTCGCGAGCTCGAGCTGCTGCTGCCATGCTCCTTCGGCCAGCTCTGCCATTCTTCGGTGGAAATTAGTCCGCCGCGATATCCGCTATGCGTGCCCGAGTTCGGCGAATGGATAAGAAGTCGACATCGCCTGCTGCTATCACTGAATAGCTAACTGAGTCTCAAGACTGGAAATAACATTACAGCGCCAAGAACAAGCAGAGCATCAGCCACTGCTTCGATCTCGCGATCACGACAGACCATTGGCAACCACAAACCTCAAGCACATCAGCAGACTTCGAACTGAAACTCTGCAACATGGCAACCAACGGCCACTCCTCGCAAAGCCCAAAAGTCCCTCCTCCTGGCATCTGGGCCCCAGCCGTAACGTTCTTCGACCCGGTCACCGACGAACTTGATCTCGCGTCCCAAAAGAAATACTACTCTTACTTATCCCAACACCTCGCCGGCCTCGTAATCCTCGGCACCAATGCCGAGACCTTCCTCCTCACACGCCAGGAACGTGCTGCACTCTTGCGCACTGCCCGCGAAGCTGTCGGACCTGACTACCCCATCATGGCAGGTGTGGGCGGCCACTCGACGAAGCAGGTTTTGGAATTCATTCAGGATGCTGTAGAAGCCAAAGCGGACTCCGTACTGGTATTGCCTTGTGCGTATTTTGGAAAACAGACGACCATGAAGGTTGTCAAAGACTTTTATGGCGAGATTGCAGAAAAGAGTCCTTTGCCGGTCGTGATCTATAATTTCCCTGGTGTTTGTAATGGAGTGGATTTGGATTCGGAGACGATTGCCGAGCTGGCGAAGAAATACAAGGTGTGTTTGTCGTTATCCGGAAGGAGCTGACAGAAGTCTAATGCATTAGTCCAGAACATCGTCGGAACGAAGTTGACATGTGCCCAAGTCGGCAAAATCACTCGTCTCACATCGCACTTCCCATCGACGGAGTTTGCCACATATGGTGGGCAATCCGACTTCCTCATCGGCGGTCTCGCTTCCGGATCCGCGGGCTGTATCGCAGCATTTGCCAACATCTTTCCCAAAACTGTTTCTCACATCTACAAGCTGTGGACGTCTGGCAAGACCGAGGAAGCTTTGCGTATTCACCGCATTGCAGGCCGAGCGGAGAACTTCAGCAAGGCCGGAATTGCAAACACGAAGTACGCGGTGAGTTTGACGAGTGCAAAGTATGCGGGAATTGAGGGTGCGGAGGAGAAGTTGAAGCCGAGAAAGCCTTACGAGGAGCCTAGTGACAGTACCAAGGCGGATATCAGAAAGATAATCGAGGAGATGGTGAAGATTGAAGAGTCGCTATAGAGACAGTAAAGGCGTGGTCATCAGGGAGTAGAGGAATATTCATCGAGAAGATCGTGGCGATAGAAGTGGTCCAGATGTCTTGCAGCTTGTTCATAATGAGAAATGAGAACCACGACATCAACCTCTCAGGTCTCTTCGAGATTCCACGTTGAAGTCTTGAGATGACTTTTCGACCTTGAACAGCATGGGAAGGAGGTTTGCACAAAACTGTGGAAGGTACGTACTTACTCACCTTCCTCGTGCAGAGCTCCATTTAGTGGCCTCGAAGAGCTGATGTGCCTGCAGATCTATGAACATGCTGCCACAGCTGCCACACCTCCTGCGAACACGGCTGACTAGCGCCAGATCGACAAGAGCACGACCAAATGCAGAAATCTCCGATGCAGAGGGTGCGGCTCTTCCACTCGAGGGAACTGAAAGTATTCGTCGCTGTCATGCGGTCGCATCCTGCCCAGCAGAATATCCAAACCTGTCTCAGTCGGATCATGTGCCTCGAAATGCGTATTCGCGACCCTCCAATACAATGCTCGACTATGAGACCTCTTGCGTTGTCGAGCTCGGATTAGCTCGCACGCAGCCATGCCGTCGCCACAGTGGAAAGCAAGGTGAAACCCATTGCCCCGCCGGCCTATCCTGAAGCACTTGACTTGAACGATGGGAGGGATCGATACAGTATAACACATCGCCGTCAAGCCGAGTCTCCGACTCCTTTCATCAACTGTTTCCCAACACATGACAGGATCACTTGGTCTTGCACAATAAGCCTTACAAGCTCCAGGATCGCCGTCAGGCCTTCCACGCCGGCACGCATGCGGGAAGCGAAAAATCTCCCATTGGTATTCTTACGCCCCCGATTCGTCTATGGACGGAGCTACACTGCACGCTTATGGCCGTAGCGAGTTGCTGACTTTAGAAGGTCACATTGGCACAGCCTTGCATGAACAATAGCCTCTCAACTACGCAAATTCATTGTCAGATATTGGCACGCCTGATCATTGTATCTGCGCGGCATCACATTCTCCAAAGGCTTGATGGGCATGATCAAATGCATAATCATTACAAAGTTGAGACCTGCTCGAATCTAACCTGCACTGCTCAAGATCAACGCCAAAAGTGACCTGCGACGATGCAACATCGAGCGGCATACGCATTATAGCCTGGACGCCTCGAGGCACATCGAGGCCGATTGGTTCACTGCCTCGCGAGGTCACATCGTATACCACATCGGAAGAAGCGATATGCCTCCTGATGCTACATCTGGTCTCAGTGGTGGACAGCAAAGGCGATACATATAAATGACGGCCTGGAACGCACCGTTTGCGATACATCAAACAGTCTACAGAACATCAATATGCAGTATCGTTTACTCGCTTTGTCCCTCCTCGCCGGCGGTGTAACTGCTTGGCTTCCGCAAGATCAAGACCTTGCAGCGTTCAACCAGACGGCCCGATTTGAGCAGCTTGGAAAACGCTTCGAGCCTTCTCTCCCAAATGGCGTGACCAAGATTCGCGGTGTCAACTTTGGAGGATGGCTCGTTTCGGAGCCTTGGATGATGAGCAACGAATGGTATGTCACCTTTGATTCCGATATATTAAGCTTGGAGTCTGACAGCTCTGCAGGAGCAAAATGGGCTGTGCTAGCTCGGCTTCTGAGTTCGACTGCATGAAAGACCATTACACTGGTAGCAACCGAGCGACAGGAAACCAAAAGTTTGCAAACCACTGGAGAGATTGGATCAACCCTGCCACTGTCCAATCTGCTCATGATGTTGGCTTGAACACTATTCGTATTCCTATTGGATACTGGTCATACGCGGCTATCGTCGATACTGCTAGCGAGCCTTTCGCGGATCCTGCTCCAATGCTCCAGTATCTGGACGCTGTCGTTCAAAAGGCTACCGACCTGGGTATGTATGTCATTATCGACCTCCACGGGGCGCCAGGCGGCCAGCAAGAGGACGTCTTCACAGGCCAGAACAACAAGCCAGCCGGCTTCTTCAACGACTACAACTTCGGCCGTGCCCAGAAGTGGCTCTCATGGATGACTAAACGCATCCATAGCAACTCTGCCTACTCTTCCGTCGGCACGATCGAAGTCCTAAACGAACCAGTCTCCGACCACGATGCGAACGGTCGCTACCCAGCACCCGGAGAAGTCCCAGGCTTGATTCAAAAATACTACCCGGCAGCACTCAAAGCCGTGCGTGATGCCGAAGCATCCCTCAACGTCCCAGACAACAAAAAACTCCACGTCCAGTTCATGTCCAAGAAATGGGGCTCCGGCGACCCACGCTCCACCTCCGCAATCCAGAACGACCCAATGACCGCCTACGATGACCACAATTACATCGGTTTCGCCCTCGGCAGTACCAGCGACAAGTACTCTCTCATGCACAGCGCTTGCACCGATTCACGAGTCGTTTCCGGACAAGATTTCGCTATTACGGGAGAATGGTCTATGACGTCCGGCGTGGATAAGAATGATGGGGCTTGGTTTAAACAGTGGTTTACGGCGCAGCAGCAGCTTTATGAGAAGCCCGGGATGGATGGTTGGGTTTATTGGACTTGGAAGACGGAGTTGAATGATCCGAGATGGACGTATAGTTATGCGACGTATTTGGGGTATGTGCCGACTGATGCGGCGGGTTTGGAGAAGAATGTTTATCAGGATGTTTGTGCTGGGTATAGATAATGGTGATGTGGGTTGGTGGTGTTGTTGGAAGCTGGAGAGATGTGAGCGGGAGTACAATCTTTGTTATTTCAACGAGATACAACTGAACTTGTGCGATGTATAGATCATTCCATCTTCCTCGAATAGGGGAAAAGTTCCAATGAGCAGTCTCGCAGGTCACTCTTGTCTCGATATCAATATCGAAGAACAGCAATGGAAGTTCACTCTGTTATCGTTCTCATTGTTCGAACCCATCCCTGTTTGCTACTCTCCACTTCCAAACTATTTCCCCTTCTTGGCAAAAATGCCGCATTCACTTCGTCCTCGCCACAAATTTTAAGGCTTCCGGAAACTTCTGTCTTCATCTCTCTGCACAAGCGTTACGCGATATAAGCACAGAACATCGGAGACTGGCAACTACCACACAAGATGTGTCGTCCCCTGACAGTTAGCTGTCAACGCATGACAGGCTACGGAGACCCGATCTGTGACCACTACCTCACACTTCCCGACCACAAGATTCTCTGCTCGAAGCCTGATTCCAGAGAATGCAGAGCCGGACTGACAGACCCGGTGAGCTTCCAGAATCCACCGACGCAGTGTGCTGGTGAGTTCGACTCGAGCCCCTTGCCCATCAATCAGTACGAGCGCATGATTTTCTGACTTGAACAGGCATCGCGGCAGGCTTCCATCCACAGAGCGAAGCTTGTGAGAGGATCTGTGAGGCTGCCCTGAGGAAGTATGGGTCGACGTTGTGGAAGGTCAATAAGGAGGGTAAGCCGAGTGAGGCGGGCTGGAAGGCTTGGTTGGTGAGATTGTGCGCTCGGTCGAAGGAAGACTGTGAAAAGGAGGCGAAGCCGTTGTTCGTGAGTGATGGAGAGGACTGATGGGCCGGCCAGGAAGTAGATCGTGCTTCAGGCGCTCGAGAGAGTGGAGATCTGGATAGTGGTGCTCGAGTGGGCGGCGTTCTTGAACTGCTTCAACGTTCTCCCAGGTGTTCGGTTTGGTCCCCTTCGCCGTGATGGCCCAGTAAGCGATTCGTTTTCCGTTGCTCCAACGTAGGCAGTTCTTCGCCTCTTCCGTTGCTGCTTGTCCGTTGGCTTCACTTCTCACTCCAAGCTTCACATTCACCTCTTCTGCACCGCGCGCCAGACCCCAGCAACGCGCGTCTCCACCCGCAGCAAAACAATCTCGCTGACCGCTGCGGCAACAAGCTCAGTCGCGCGCCCAATATAAAAACAAACTTTCTCCCCCCTTCTGCTCTCTTCCTTCTTCCCCGTCACCACAACACACAACACAACCGCGCCAACACACCAACGACCTATCACACCACACACAAGACTCTTCTCTCACACACAATCACACCATCAACACCACTCAAGATGTGCGGTCCACTCATCGTCACTTGCGGCTGCGCTCCCATCGTCCACAAGCAAAACCGCGCCACCCACTACGTCGTCTGCGAACACCTCCTCGTCCCGTGCAAGAATGCCGGCGACAGAATCTGCAAGGCCGGTCTCGGCGAGATCGTCGACTTCCAGAACCCGTCCACTGAGTGTGCCGGTAAGTTTTCACTTCTTTCCTTCACTTGCTCTTGTTTCTGTTTCTCTGCCAATTTGGCGCGGCGGCGGCGGCGGGCGGGTTGGAGATTGAGTGACTTGGAGTCGAGTTCGAGTGGCGGAGAAAGGGGAGGAGACCGGGGTGAAGAAAAGGTAATCTTGCTGTTTGAGAACAATACTGACTCGACTTTCACTGGCGAAAGGCTGCTTGGCCGGCCACTCTCCATACAGCCAGGCCGCCAAGGAGATCTGCGAGGCTTCGCTGAAGAAGTACGCCGAGGCCGTCTACAAGGCCAACGAGAAGAATTTCACCGGCGAGAAGACCTCCCGCAAGGGCTGGTTCTTCGGCCTCTTCTAAGTCCGCAAAGGTAAGCACTCTCCCCCCTTGTTTTCTCTGGTTGGCGGTCGCAATGAACGACAACGTGGTTACAACCGCGGCGCAAAATGGTCGTGAGAGTATTGCAGAGAGACTGACTGGTTGGCAGGCACCACACACCAAGATGCGCTGAGAGATGGAAGGAAGGAAATGCTTGGGTATCATACCTAGGCTAGAAGAGCAGAGCAAAGCTTCATAAACGCTCAATGAAAGTAACGTCACGCTGTCGCTTTGCCTTTTCCTTTGACTTCGTAGGCCGGCGCAGGCTCTTCGTCGTCCTCGGAACTCTCGTCTTCGTCCTCGTCCCAGCCGTAAAAGCTTCTGCCACCTCCACCATTCGACGCTTCCGCTTTGACGCCCTCACTAGAGTCAGAGCTCTCCTCAACATCCTCATCCTCACTCTCATCCGCCTTGGCACTACTCTCACTCCCCGTCCTCTCCTCCAACAAGCCCTCCTTCATAGCCCTGATAACAGCCTCCCTCGTCTTATTCTCCGCATCCTCCTTGCCCTCAACCCACTCCGCATCCAGTCTCCCTCTCGCCGCACCGCCCTTGCCACTCTTAATCTCCTCTTCCCTCCTCTCCGCAGCATCCACAACTTCCTGCCAGCGCTTCTTCCTCTCTTCCTTTTCCTTCTTCTCCATTTCCGGCTTGATGGCAAGATATTCTGCCAGCCTCTTCGCCTCGTCCACAGTCCTCAACCTCCTGCCATCGAGGTTGCGATTCGAGGCATTTGGATTCACATTGCTGTTTCGGTTCTTGCGACTGCTCATGCGACCGCCTGCGGCGCGGAGTTGGGAGCCGAAACCGCCTTTGCCACCACATAGTCTTCGCGACAGGCGCAGGGAGAGAAGAGTATCGTCTGGAGAGCTGAGGAGGGTGGTGATCGGAGAGTCATTGTGTGGGAGGAGTTGCTTGTTTGAGACGGTTGTGATGAGTAGGTCTTCTCCTGCGGAGGGTGGTAATCGCGACTGGATCGTGCTGTAGATGTCGCTGATTGGAGTTGAGGCCTTGGTGGGTAGAGACAGCGTGCGAGGGAGTCCAAGACCGGCGAAAGTCGCCAGGAGGACGTTGATGGTGGATTCTGACTGAGCCATGTTGTTCTGGACTTGGGAGTGTGCGTCGGTAGTGGGTATAGATGCGTCTCAAAGTTATCTTGTCAGACGCGAAGTCAGTCGTCAGTCGCAAGGCCGTGTACTTCGTGCCTTAAATTTCAGGCAGCAAAAGTGGGGTCGTCAGTCCCCAGCTTCGTGCAGCCAGCTTCCAGCTTTCGAGCTCTCGCGTTTCCTGCTGGGCACGAGACAGCTTGCTGCATAAAGACGCGTGAAACAATTGTTTGCCAAGCCACGTTTGTCGACAGGCGATATAAACGTCCCCTACCCAGCCAGCTCCATCGACGGATCGATCTGCTCGCGAATCCGAAGAGAGGGGCATCTGAGGAGGAGCAATGGCCGACGACAAGACAGCAGATGCCAAGCTGGCGAGCGATGTTGCCGACGATTCATTGAAAGACCCTATGGCCACTTCTCAAGCTGCTGATGATCTCCAAAATGATGACGGAGAAGAAGAGGAGGGCGAGGAGGACGGTGAACAAGAGGCTGCAGGCGGCAGTCCCTCACAGAAGAAGAAGAAGCGAAAGCCTAAGAAGAAGAAGGCTGCCACAACAGAACAGCCACTCGCCAATGTGATCCAAAACAATAAGCCTATTGGGGTACAAGATCTACCAGCACTTCTTAAACAGCTACAAGCCAATGAGGGAGCCAAGAAGGAGGGCAAGGCACCTGAAGACTACAAGTTTTGGAACACGCAGCCCGTGCCAAAGTTCAAGGAGCCCAATCTGCTCCAAACGACCAGCGGAAAAGAGGGTGACCTCGCTGAAGGTGCTATCCTGCCATCCCAGATCTGCAAGGCCAGTGTCAAGCCCGAGCCGGAGAAGCTACTGGATAGCTTCGAGTGGTGCTTGATCGATGTGGAAGACAAGGACGATCTGCAGGAATTCTACGATCTGCTTTACAATCATTACGTCGAGGATACAGATGGTTCCTTCCGCTTCAACTACTCCACAGAATTCCTGAAGTGGGCACTTCAGCCTCCAGGATGGAAGAAGGAATGGCACATCGGTATCCGTACCAAAGCCTCCGCTGATGGCAAGAGGGGAAAGCTTGTCGCTTCGATCACTGGTATTCCTGTCACATTGAAGGTCAGAGGACAGACAGTCAATGCCAGCGAGATCAATTTCCTTGCCATTCACCGCAAGCTGCGAAACAAGCGTTTGGCGCCTGTGCTCATCAAGGAGGTCACACGACGATGCTATCAAAATGATGTTTTCCAAGCACTATATACTGCCGGAACACTGCTCCCAACGCCAGTAAGCACATGTCGCTATTTCCATCGGTCTCTGGACTGGGAACACCTCTACAAGACTGGCTTCAGCCACATGCCACCTGGATCGACTGAACTGCGCCAGAAGTACAAGTATCGATTGGAGTCTCACACGCAAACTAAGGGCTTGCGACCAATGAAGCCAGCCGATATCCCAGCTGTCAAGGACTTGTTGGTACGCTACACCGAGCGCTTCAATCTTCGACAGGAGTTCAGCGATGAGGAGATTGCGCACTGGATGTGCTCCGAGACGTCCAAAGGGGTCGTGTGGAGCTACGTGGTAGAGGATGAGGGACGCATCACTGATTTCATTTCGTACTATCTACTCGAGGTAAGCGTGAATGGTGCTCTCTCTGTGCACAGCAAGCTAACACGCTACAGTCCACCGTACTTCGCGCGTCCAAGAAGGATACGATCCGTGCTGCATACCTCTACTATTACGCTACCGAATCTGCATTCCAAGCTCCGAAAGGACCCAAGGTCAAAGCCAAGGAGTTGCAAGAGAGACTTCAAAATCGTCTGCAAGAGCTCGTGCACGATGTGCTCATTCTTGCCAAGAAGGAGGATTTCCACGTCTTCAATGCGCTCACGCTTCTTGACAACCCCTTGTTCTTGAAAGAGCAGAAATTCGAGCCCGGGGATGGCAAGCTCCATTTCTACCTGTTCAATTGGCGGACGCCGACGCTGCCAGGAGGTATTGACGAGAGGAACAACATCGACACGAGCAAGATGGGCGGCGTGGGTGTTGTTATGCTGTAAACTTAGCGAAAAGTTATGACATTGGCGATGACATATCGCGTCGATATGAGTGAATGCATCACAATATGACATGAGATGAGGTAGTCCTTGATGAATCTTTGGTTATCCGTGCATTGACAAGGACGAGAAGCTGCAGGCCACATGCAGCTTGGCAGTGGAGGCGCAAAATGACGTGGTGCGTGAGCGGATACTGCAGTGTTGCGATGAGAACCAAAACAAGTCGTGCTCGCAACATCCCGCATCCAAACACGTCTCCAGTATTGTCCAGGCAGACAGAATAGAGCATCGTCACGTCGACCGTCCCTTGCGCCAGCACTCGACAATCACCAGCGCGCCTGTTGCCTCCCACTCGGCAGCTCGGAGACTTATCGGGGCAGCCATCGTCTCTAGGTCCTCAACCACCTCCACTCCACATCCTTCGCAGGCGAGAGCGCACACCGCACCCCACGACCGCGACTCGAAAAGCTTCCACAACCACAAACCCAATCTCGACCCCGACCACCACCGCCCCTCGTCGTCCTCCAACACCGCCTGTGCGCGCAAAACACCGCCATCATGTCGGGCGAGGCGTGGTAAGTCTTGCGCGCCCGCAGCAGCATCTACACCAGCCAAAACAGCTCCTCCACCACCCCCAAAATACGCGCAGAACATCACCACTGACCAGGCATGTCCCTCTCTCCAGGTTATTCCTCCTCGCAGTCCTTCTCAATGCCGTCAACTTGTTCCTCCAGGTCTTCTTCACCATCATGTACTCCGATCTCGAATGCGACTACATCAACCCGATCGACCTTTGCAACCGCCTCAACATGTATATCGTTCCTGAAGCCGGCATTCACGCATTCCTGACCATCTTGTTCCTCATCAACGGATACTGGTTGCCGTTGATCTTGAATCTGCCTTTGATTGCATGGAACGGAAAGAAGTAAGCAATACCATGGCACACAGACGCTTTGCAAAGCAGCTTGCACATGAGAGCGCATATACGGTGCAGGAAGAACGAACGGCACAAGCTAACGGCGCTCACAGGATCTTCGAAAACCAACATCTTCTCGACGCAACAGAGATCTTCCGCAAACTGAACGTGCACAAGAAGGAGTCCTTCATCAAGTTGGGCTTCCACTTGCTGATGTTCTTTTTCTACCTCTACTCCATGATTGTCGCGCTCATCCGAGACGAAAGTGGGTAGATTCCCGGAACAAGCCACTGCAAAACGCATTCTCCTCCCTCTGCGCTTCTCACATGCCCCAAACACCAAAGCTCGAACCTGCTTGTTAGTTCTCTGACACTCATGGCTCTTCTTTGCGTAGGCGGAACCTCGGCCAACAACACTCGTCTACCGCAATAGACGCGAGAAACCCGACGAGAGGAGATTCGAGTTCCAAAGCTTTTCCTGGTCGGACAACGCTGCAGAGGGGAGTTGTGGTCAGTGAAACGAAGAAAGCAAGGGAATGTGGGCTCAGCGAAAGATCAAGAGAAGGAACAAAATCGTGGTGGTTTGGATGCATATGCAAAGGAATACAGAAATGGAAAAGATCACGACGTGTAAAGGTAATGACTATCTCTCTCGCATGGCGGGAGGAAAAAGCGGTGCATCAATCATGAAATGATACAGATGAGATACGAAATGACTGAGAGACCGACATGTCCTTGGAGAGGCAAATCACCTTGTAACTGTGCGCATCGGAGTCAACAGATGTGCGAGATAGAGAGCATTGTTTTTTGTTCGGAATTGTGTGTTGTTTGTTTTTCGTCGCACGTATCACGATATACCCCTCGATCAGGAAGCAAGAATCATCATTTCGTTGTAAACATGGCCGCGAACACTGTTCTTTTGTCAATTGTGGAGCGTTCGTTGTTCTATGCTACCAATGTCGGCAACTTAACTCGACTGCCGCGGAATGAAGTTTCGAGTCGTGCTCACGAGAGCAGATACATCACAACTCCAACTTCGAGAGCCAACAGAGTCCATTTCAGGCTTTACACTTGAAGCTTAGATACCATTCCCCCCTCAGGGTCTAGTATTCTCTCCCCGTTACGCCTCAAGCAAGCTCCCACTTCGCCAACCTCCCCAAATTCTGTCCCGAATTTCTCACGATACACAATCTTGCCTCTTCTTCCCCATTCTTCTTCCAATCCTCCAGAACCTTGCTCAGCAATAGATTGCCTATCCCCGTTCCTCTCCCTTCACTCAAATTCAGATTTCCTGTCGTTACGAAGCCGATCAGATCTTCTTCTCCAGGACATTCGGGATATGATTCTTCATTAGCACGGACGCCTTGGACGAGGGATTGGGCCAGGTGTCGTTGGACGAGGTATGCCGGAGCGTCTTTGGGAAGGGCAGGCGGAAGGCCGTTTTTGGGTCCGGACTTGCGAGGTTTGTTGTTGGGATGGAGGGCCAGCCAGGCTTTGCGGAGTGCTGAAGATGTTGATGGGAGGCGGTAGATGCGAGCGCAGGTCTGCGGAGTGCCGCGCGTCAGGCAGTGGAGAGATATTGTTATCGTGGGATTGAGGAGGGTGGAACCAATGGTGGTTTCTGGCGAGGATGCATGGAGTAGACGTGAGGCCTCGGAGGAAGGAATGGAGGTTATGGGTGGGGTGTTTTGACTTTGCACCGTTTCAGGCGCAGGCGGTGGTTGTGCTTCGGCGGAAGCGGCGTCGGGCATGGCAGTGTCTTCGCCGGTGCTCTCTTCGACTGGCTTCGGAGGGGCTTCCGTTGGTGGCCCGTTGAGCAGCCTTGACCAGTCGCAAGCCCAGCCGAGCCCAATCTCTCCTTTGACGCCGACACCAGCCTTAACGACATCCCAGTTCACGCGCTTGCTCTTCGGTCGACGCGCCCAGTGATCCTTTCTCTTCTCTGCTTGCTCTTTCTCCCACTGCCAACCGGCCTTAGTCCCAGGATAATCACCAGGAAACCAGGGTTGATTGGTCTCGAAAGCCAGCTGACGTTTCTCGTCGAGGCCCCCAAAGCGCGGTTGACCTCCAGTTGAAAGTGGATAGTACATGATGCTGTACCACACAGGCTGAACACACTTCCACGGCAGAAGCATTGTCCACGAGCTCGCCCTAGACTTGCTATTCGTGGTAGAATAGATGATTGTAGGAATTGAGGGGTCACTGGGCAGGAGTTCCGGGAATTGACCAGGCACGGCAGTGGTCTTGCGTCTGTTGATTGATTTCTGAGTCGGCAAAGCAGAAGATGCACGTTGTCGAGCTCGTCGGTCAAACAGTCCTGATGATATGTGCTCTGCCTCAAGGGGCCAAATCGCTGATAGCTCGAGAAGTCGTTGCTGAGCATCTGTTGTTTGCGGAAGCTTGATAGGTCGTGGCGGATGATGCAGTCGGGGATCTTGCACGTCCAGTCCAATGACCACATCGCGTGGCAGAAGCGCCAAATCTGTCAAGCCTGCTAAGGCGTTCCATGTCTTTGCAGGTTCAGTGATAGCTGCGTTCGTTGTTGGAGAAGGCCAGAGAGCGCCCAGTAGCGCCTCCGTCGCACCTGGGCCTGTTATTTCTATGCTACCAATCTCGTAGCGCAAGTCTTCGACACTGATTTGAGGTTTCGCCACTTTAGCCAGCCTGACTACCTCTTCCCACAGTTGCAAGAAAGCGGCGGGATGTACTCTGATAAAGGCTGTCCGAAGCTGCTTTGCATTCGTCTCTGCTGTGTCAGACCCCGCCTTCGCTGCTTGTGGCGACCACAATACAGTCACTGGAGCTATCGGCTTGTGCGGTGCTTCACGTTCGAGAACGAATCCATTGAATGCTCGTGATCCTTTTCGCCATCTTTCAGATTGTGCGCTCCAAGGATCGTTACCATTAGTCTTCGAATTTAGGTGGAGAGCCTTCAGTACGCCTTCAATGCTCCGTTGCTGCCCACAGAGGCTGATAGTCGCCATGTAACTCATGTCCCAAGCGATGGCTCCACGCTCGTTGGCAGATCTGTGCGTGGGACGATAGCTCTTTGCAGTAGGTGTCAGGGGTATTGAGAATCGCCACAATGCCTCTTTCGGTGCAGTCATACGAGCTCTCTTTGCATGGAACATGTGCGTTGGCAGCCAGGTCTTGTCGATTTGACGCTTCCGAAATCTGGCCGTTGGTTTGGGAGGTGTGGCCAGTTTGACTTTCTTGACTTTTGCTGTGCGGGTCTTTACAGCAGTGTCATTTGCTGTGTCTGGCGCATTTGCTTTTGGATAAGGTCGCACGGTGACTTTCTCCTCTGCCTTTCCGTCTTTGGATGCTTTGCTTTTCGCACCCAACGCACGCAACTTCTTTACAGTCTCGAGACGCAATCGCATGTGTCTTGTTGGCTTTCGGGTCTTGGAGCTTACAGTAGGAGTGTTGTCTTCCACCATCTGTCTATCATTAGCATACCATGCAGAATGAGGATTGTCCCCCGCCCCTTCGTCCAACATTAGTTGAACATCAACCTACCTCCCTCTTCGCTCGCGGCTGCAGCCGCTTCGGCACACGCTTGACATTGTGACTCGCCGTTCGTCGTCTCAAGTCTCGGGGCACTTGCTGGAATGCTCGCTTCGTCAAGGCTTGCTTACTCCTCGACATGCCCTCTTCTAGAGCTCTGATTTCATACTCGCGAGATTTGACAAAAGTGTCGACGTCTAGCTGGCCATTTTTGAAGGCTTTAGAGGACGTTTGAGTGGCCAGCACCCGCATATCTCGTTGCTTGGAGCGATGGTCGTTCCTTGGTCTCTTGTTGTCTTTCTTCCCATTATTGGCGTTGGTAGGCGGATCTTTGCGCTTCTTTGAGCCTGCATCGACTTTCGCAGCTGGTCTGGCCGGATTTTGCTTCGGCATGGTCGTGGTCATCACTGTCAGTCGGTTTTCGTCACTGATCTCATGTCTCTGTCATGCTTGTCGTGGCCGAACTTTCTCTGCGGAACGACATGAAGTGAATCCAATTGTTGTTCTCGTGACTGAAGTGTGTGCCACCGTGAAACTTTGGTGACGTGACTTCGATTTTTGGCCAACGCGTCTTCGCGACTCGACTCGACGCGTCGCGACCTCCCACTACACCCCTTCTGCCTTCTCGCCGCAGACATACCGCGACACACCCCGCCAACATGGAGATCTCATCGTCGCCACCTGTGTCGCCGCCCCAGAGACGTCGAAGGTCTGCCTCGGATGCGGAGGATACGGACGCAGAATCACAGGCCAGCAAGCGGCGTCGGTTCGACGACAGTGGGGAACACGAGGAGGAAGATGAGGTGCCTTCAGAGGTGTGCATATATGATGCAGTCAATTTGGGCCTCGAGTCTGGACTAACGACTCAGCAGTCAGAAGGAGACATCCTCCCGGACAGCTACAGACGCTCACCGAAAGGCAAGCAACGAGCCCGTGCCACGACGAGCGAGCACACTCAGCAAGAGCATAAGCCTGGCTCGATTGTACGAATTTCGATGAGGAACTTTGTCACGTACACAAACGCCACCTTCCATCCTGGGCCGAACCTCAACATGATAATTGGACCAAACGGCACAGGGAAGAGTACACTGGTCTGCGGCATATGTCTGGGTCTCGGTTGGAAGCCAGAGCATTTGGGTCGGGCTAAGGACATCAGCGAATTTGTCAAGCACGGATGCAAGGAGGCTGTCATTGAGATCGAGCTCAAGGCGGACCCGACGCGACAACAGACGAACCCGATCATTGGCTGCAAGATCACTCGTGATGGAAGTGGTCGGAACAACCAGGAGAAGAAGACCGCTTTCAAGATTGACGGCAAGACAGTCTCCAACAAAGCGGTGCAAGAATTTGTGCGAAGCTTCTCTATCCAGGTGGACAATTTGTGCCAGTTCTTGCCTCAAGATCGAGTCGTCGAGTTCGCGGCGTTGTCTCCTATCGATCTGCTCGTGCAGACGCAGAGGGCTGCTGCGCCGACCTACATGTCGGAATATCACGAAGACCTCAAGAAGTGGCGAAAGGAAGAGAAGCAGTTGCAGGATGACCAACAGAATCTTATCGAAGATCTAAAAAAGCTCGAAGATCGTCAAAGAGCTCAAGCCAACGATGTGGAGCGCATGCGTGAGCGCGAAGTGGTCAAAGAAAAGCTTGCATTGTTGAAAAAGTTCAAGCCAGTCAGTGAATTCAATGAGTTGAGGAGGAAGCACACCGAAGCAAAGGTCGCCGCGAAAGACGCCGCCAGAGAGCTGCGACGGCTCGAGCAGCAAATCCAGCCCAACATGCAAGCAGTCAATGAGAAGCAGGAGTACCTCAACACAGTTGAGCGCTTCCTCAAATCCAAGGAGCGGATGGTGCTGCATGGTGTTGACACGGTCAGCAAGCTGCAGCAGAAATTCGACAATATTGGAAAAAAGGTCACAGAATGTGACGAAGAAATTAAGGCGGAGGATGCGAGCGCGACAAAGGCCAAATCAAACGTGCTGAAACTGCAGCGAGACGTTACAAGCATTAAGAATGCAATGACCAGCCCTCCTGCTGCATTCGATGCTGCAGAAACGAACCAACAGGTCACAGAAATGAGCCGACGTATTCGCACACTTCAGGAAGAGCAGAGTGCAAACCACGATTCAATGGGGGAGCTGAAAGAGTCGGCTCAGCAGCGTAAACGAATGATCGAGGCGGAGCAGGAAAAGCAGACTCATTTGCAATCGCAGGCTGGCAAATTGGAGAGCAAGCTTTCCAGCGTATCTCAATCGTCGGCCGATCTCTGGAAATGGATCCAAGCCCACCAGGACAAATTTCACAACAAGGTCTATGGACCACCCATGATTGAATGCTCCGTCCAGGGCTCACGGAATGCGGACTGGATCGAGGCTGTGGTGGGCGTGAGCGAGCTCAAAGCATTCACAGTGACGGATTCGCGCGACTTCAAAACACTGTCTCATCAGGCGTACCAGGTCATGAAACTCACCGATGTGAACATTCGCTCGGCGACCCAGGGCCTCGACAAGTTCCCAAAACCTGAGATCTCGACTGAGGACATGACACGAATGGGCCTGGACGGATGGCTATTGGATCGGATAGAAGGACCAGAGCCAGTCCTGGCTATGCTTTGCGACGGTAGGAACGTCCACAGGACCGCGTTCTGCAACCGCGACACTACAGAGCAACAATTCGAGCTGCTCAAGAGATCAGCGCTTAGCGCTTGGGTCACGCCCGCTAACCATTATCAGATCGTTCGTCGGTCAGAGTATGGCGACGCGGGTACTTCTACCAAGGTAGCCCAGCTGAAGAAGTCGAGGTTCTTGACCGATGCTCCTGTGAGCACACAAGCCGAGGAGGAGAGCAACGCCAAGGTTAGAGAACTGCGAGGTGAACTTGACCACATCAAACAAGAAATGGAGGGGCTGAGACTTCGATATGGTCAACTTCGCGACGAGGTGAAAACGCTGACTGATCAATCGCAAGCCATCAAAGATGAAAAAGCAAAGTTACAGCACCAGAAGTCGGCATTCGATGGACTTCCAACCAAACTGGCGAGCACCGAGGCACGTCTCGCAGAGTTACAGGAACAATTGTCACAGCACGACGGCCGCAAATGGGAAATTTCTCAGAAGCAGATGCAGCTGAATATGGATCAGGGCCAGGTTGCGCTTGATCATGGCAGGGCAGTCCGCAATCTGGAATCGTTCCAGGAACAGGCGATAAGAGTGGAGATCAATCGCATAGAAGCTGCTTCAGACCTTGACCAACTGAAGGCTCGTAACGAAGCGGATCTCAATCGCTTGCAGGCCGCACAGCAGAAAAGCGAGAGCGCGAAGCAGGAGAAGGAGGAGCTTATGAGACTTGGCGTCCAAAAACAACGAGAATGCGTGGCCATCTCCAACGAGATGGGCGAGTTGACAGATCTGCAGGAAGAGGTTCACACTTTGGTCCTTGGATTGGAACCCACTGCGCTCGAAACGGAGATCACCTCTGTGGAGGCATCCCTTGACTTACTGGCAGGCAACGGGAACGCCAACCTGATCAGAGATTACGAAGAGCGCGCAAAGAAGATTGAAGACAAGCGAACTCGTCGCGACACCTTAGAGGAGGACTTGGAGGAACTTGGTGCCAAGATTCGCGATATCCGAAGCAGGTGGGAGCCACAGCTTGACGAGCTCATTCGGCAGATATCGGATGCCTTTGCTGAAAACTTCGCGCGCATTCAGTGTGCGGGCGAGGTCGGTATTGACAAGCAGGACGACTTTGCTGAATGGGCTATCCAGATCAAGGTCAAGTTCAGGTATGTGTATCATCGTTCTTGCAAGTGTGAAGCTCATACTAATGAACTTGCAGGGAGAATGAGCAGCTCCAGGTTTTGGATTCACACCGTCAGTCTGGAGGAGAACGCGCAGTCTCGACAATCTTTTACCTCATGGCCCTTCAGAGCATGGCACGAGCACCATTCCGAGTCGTTGATGAGATCAACCAGGGTATGGATCCGCGAAACGAGAGGCTGGTTCACTCGCGCATGGTCGATATCGCTTGCGCCGAGCACACCTCGCAGTACTTCCTCATCACGCCCAAACTGCTCAACAATCTCAAATACCATCCGAACATGAAGGTCCATTGCATAGCCAGTGGAGAGTACATGCCTGACAAGACGGATCAGCTGGACACGTTTGAAAATCTGGCTCAGGTTGCGTTGAGAGTGAAGGGTGGTGGCATCATGACTTGAATGCTTATCAATGCTCTGCTTGTGTTCCGGATTATGGCTGGGGTCGTAACCGATTGGAACAGAACGATACCGATGGCCACAGACCGATCGCTGTTGATCCCACGAAGCCACGACTTTTTAATCTCTTCTTTAGGCTTCAGCCGAACTCCGCGGCCCCTTTCTACACTCTGCCACATGCATACGCAGAACCGGAAGTATAATGTTCAATAAGCTTCAAGGTGTTGGGATCCGCCGCTGAGGGCTCTATTGTATTGTATAACTTCGCTGACTGTGCGGAGTGTTTTCCCGTATACATTTGTGGAACGGACAATCTAATCATCAACAAGCTTCAACGTGCCGGGGATTGACTCGGAGGGCTATGAATCGCGGAGCGTTCCCCATACGCCTCTGAGGCATTGCAAAGCGCTGGTGTGTTGGCGTTCTGTGTTTCACGCGTCGGACTCTCGCCCGAACCTTATGCATGTGGTCATGCTGTGATGTTCCCGACGCTCTGGTTCTCAGCCACTGTACGACTTTGCTATTCGGTCCTGCTGTGGCGTCGTCAATCTTGATATTTCTTGCTGATGACGGGCACTTCTCACAGTGATATGCACATGTCAGATTGGAGGACCGGGGCGTTTGGGCATGGAGGTCAACAACGATTCAAGTATTTCTTCGTTGTTTCACACTGCAAGCGACAGCATCAGCGTGAGCAAACAGTCATAGTATGCTGAGTGTGCCCTAAGAGGTAGTACCTGAAGTCTAGTATTTTTTGAACTCTATTGGCCTTTGAACTCTATCTTATGGCATCATTTATCGCGGCGGTGTGCACATCTCAAATCAGAGGCACAGTGTATGTACGCACGGAGGACTGCAACGATTCAAGGACTTTGTCGTTGTTTCACGCCGCAGGCGACCGGGCAAGGGGCATTCAACATTGAATCTAGTATTCTCAGTTGATGATCTTCAATACAATACGAAGTTATACGAAGTGGCATGAGATGTGTTCCTTGCATAAAGAAGATCTTAGGGTTCGGACGCGTGGACTGGATCCCTGAATTTTGATGGCAATCAACAATGCACCTCACTCTCAGAATTCATTTGTACCATGTGAATGTGGAATACATGCAGTCACCTAGCCCAGCTAGTGGTGCTGCACGCACGCGAGTTACACGCGGCGAATACGATGTACCCAATATGGTCGGTTGTCGACACTTGCATGAGAGCTACTGCGTGACATCTTGGTTCATTTTGGAGCTAGGAGCTATGAAGGGCGATCTTGTCGCTCCTTTCATACTAAGAATCTGTAGCGCAAGACCATGAACGTCGTCCGAGCCTCAATATCGCACCGTTTGAAGTATGTCAATGAGAGATGGGAGCAAGGTCGTGTCGCAGAGCTTAGTATCCCGCCAGAACACGGATATATTCGGGTGTGTTCGGGAACAGTGGTTTGCTTTCGCCAAGACAAACTTTGAGCCACCAGAGATGGATCGTAAGGCTATTCCTTGTAGTCAATCTGCTGTTAGTCAACGCCATCCATGACTCGGGAGTCTAGCGTGGCTATGTATTGCACAAGAGCCACTGCGGCCGTGCTCGGCTGCCAGCCGGTGTCAGATCGATGAGAAGCGGGTGGTGAGCATGGTGATCCGTCGAATATTCGGTTTCGAAGAGAGGCGAATTGAGCGCAAAAGGGGAGGAGCTCACTCCTAAACCGACTCGACAATGTCGACAGCTCCACCGCAAACAGAATGACAGCGGATCAGAGCGACAAGCATTCACACCATGTGGATCCGGGAAAGTAATTTTACCGACGTCGCTGAAACATATTGACCCTTCCTTCCTCATCATCAACAAGAAGAAGAACTCAACGCAAAGTCTACTATTCAGTGAACGCTGTTCCCAGCGCTAATAATAAGATGTCTTTCGAACTCGAGCGCAACTGCTTCCAGATCGAGATGTACCGGCTGCGGGGAGCAGCGGCAGACCATGCAATGGTGGCTTCCTCCAGAAGGAAATGATCTGTCCTTTGAGTATATGGGGACAGGAATATACGCAGGTGCGATAGTGGTATGGAATGGAAGAGCCGACGCCACCTGCAATGCTGACACATGCTCTTGCAGCATCACCATCCACTGCCGAAGAGTTCTAAGACGATTTGATATGCAGTCACGGCAGTGAAAGTCTGCTGTGATGCCTGTCATAAAACACCCTGCGAGCGTGCGCACGGCACGGCACTGAACTATCGGAAGTGAATTGGAGCCGCAAGAGCAAATGCATGCCGTATGCCTATGTCGCAAGCACTGGAGCGCGGCCTCTTTGCTGCGCTGCCCGTTATCGGACGCCTGAAGACCATCGGTTGCCAAATGCAGCTTCACATGCAATGCGCAGATCAGATCATCGTCGTCCGATCTACCACGATGTTGGGGTGCCCTATCGCGGTTCTTGCGCTTATTTTAGTGTCCCTCGCCCACTTGAGGCCGCTCGTTGCCGTGGCATGGATGGCTCGAAGGTTTCCGAGTGGTGAAGCCGAATTACAACTCATCCGGTATGCGGCTCGCACATTGTCTTCCGGGAGCGCGAAGTCGTTAATTGGGAAGGTGGAGTGCGAATTTGATCGAGGGAACAGCCCAGGATCGTCAGCGCATAAAAGGTTCCAAGACCGCCAGGCAACGTCCGAGCCAAATGACTCGGTGCACGGTACATAACCTTAAGACGACAAGTATCTCATCTATCTCACGTGGCTGGAAGGTTTCCTGCATCAACCGATGAAATCATGCTTGGTGAGCTCTTGGCAGGGAAACTCACATCGCTGGAAAATAACTTCGAATTGCCAGAACCTACGTGTCGTCAGCTGCGCAGCGGTCGGCTTGCGCTACTGTGATTTTGGAATTACTGATGAAGCCAGCTATGAGCTGAACGTTTCGCAGACGCCACCGAGCATGATAAGCTTCCTCCCTCGGGAATGCGGCAGGGGACAGCTGCCAGCCAAGATTAATCTCAAATCTAAACCCCGCCAAATCGTCCAACGCCACGTCTTGTCCATGTGCAGCAGCTGCTAGACGCTTCCTTGCGGCGGTACTACGGAGGACACGAAAGTGAACCACGAGACGCACGTAGGGATCGACAGCAGGAGCTGAGATTTGCTGCAACATCCTTCAGTCGCCGAGCACATCTGTCAGATCTACTGGCAGTTCAGTCAGGACGAGCCTGGCATACCTGAAGGACACGCAACCTGCCGCTAGCGTCTGGACAAGGCTTAAGAGGAACCGAGATAAGAGCCAATCCTCGAGTGACATTATTTGCCATTCAAGCGCGCTCTGATGAGCAACAAGCACACAAGCGAAGCACTAAAACAATTGTCACGCTCCCTCCGGGCACCGGCACCGAGCATGCTGAATGGCAAAGACAAACCTAAGCACGGCGCTGCGGTTCACAGGCTGTGTGAGATTCGTTAGGAGGTCCGTACAGGGCTGGGAGGTGAAAGTAAGGTCTCATGTGGCCAGTCGTAAACGCATTGTTTAAGTGGCCGGTATCGTATCCGATGACTAGCAACGTCGTCTCAGATTAGCGACCGTTCTTGCTCAACTTGAAGCTCGACAGCATTCGCAACACGCCAACTCATGTGTAGGAGCTCCTTTTGTGGACATGAAACCATGAAGACGTTAAGATTTACGTTGGCTTCGCCGATTCTAGCGCTGCCCTGAGCCGCCTGACAGATCAGAAAAACGCCTCCGTCGACATGGATCCTGGCAGGCATCAAACACCCTTTCTGCGCTCATACATTGGCGCAATCGGGGTAGAGGCTCTCGAGCTAATGACGCCACGCTTGTTTCCACAGCGTCACTGATGATTGTGGATCACTCGATGACAACGCCTCAACAATATGCGCCCACTTCGAATAACCTGCCTCGCCACTACGCTCGGAATCTAGTCCGTCACCGGTTGATGCGGCACGTTCAGCCTACACCTGCAGTAGACCGTCCAACTGCGCCGGACTTTTAACTCTGTTCGGACACCTTCTCTTTCGGCATCAGAGTTCTGTGCCTCTAGTAGTGTCTCTGGGAAGAGCTTTAATCTGTCATCAAAAAGTCATTGGTCACACGTACCGGTGACCTCACTGCACACTGCAGCCATTCCTCACAGTCGTGCGCGAGTGCTCTAGCGCGACCAGGTCTCTGGGAACGCCACACTGGAACTGCGACTATTCGGCACTAATTGACTCGAGAGGCACTTCTTCTAGGCGGGATCTTCCAATACACCAACGGGGCACGCGGCGCTGCATACAACTAAAAGGCTTGTCGGACAGATATTGTCACACCACCCGCATTCGCATCGGCATCACCGTGCCTGCAGAAGGCGAACTACCACTGAAACCACCAATCAATGTGCTTGTCTTGCCTGCGCGGTAAACTCATAATTTTCGAAGGACCGGGGTCTCTGGACAGTCGCTGCAACTTTAGCGTTGTACTACTCTCGTCATGGCTTCAGATCTGCCTCAGCATGGCTCTGCACAATCCGATCCAAGGCGGGAAGGCAATGCAGTCGCAGCTCCTCCGGAATATCATTCGCAGACCCACGCCAATGTATCCTTTGCGACGGGAACCCCACAACCGCCTGGACTACTGAACAGGAAGAAGCAGAGATCGTCCAAAACAAAGACCGACAAAATAGTCACCAAATCCATCTCCACACCACATCTTCGAGACAACATCATGTCAGAATCGGAGGCCGACAAGAAGAGGAACAAACTTGGCTACCAGAGGATATCGATCGCTTGTGGTACGTTACGTGTTCTCATCCTGCAAGCTCCATCATCCAGCCGTGTCTGGACGGCACGCGCTACCGTACATCCCGCTCGTGCAAGTACTATGTTGACACTAAGGCAGCTCACTGCCGTCGTCGTAAGATCAGATGCGTCGTCGCAGAGGACGACCCCGAACAGAGATGTAACAACTGCATACGTTTGAAGAAAGAATGCGTCTTCTATCCCGTCGACCAGCAGGCCGTCATCGATGCGCGATCGGACAGTTCTAGCAAGACGAACATTCCCTCCGCGCCCTCGTCGGCGGTTTCGACATCACCACTGCAACCAGGAGGCGCGCGAGGGTTCGATCAGCACGCGTTCATGACGAACTATCCGCCCACAGCACCGCCTCCGCCAGTATCAACTGCTTATCAAGGAGTTCCTCTCGTCCCGAGCACAGACGTTCCGACGCAAGGTATCACCACAACCCTTTGCCCTCCATGCGTGCACACTGATGATTTTACAGGATATTCACCGCACGATTATTCGTTCCAGGGCCCAGCTCAACCAGCCTCGCAATGGGGACCGCCTGACGCCGCAGCCCAGAGCCGGCAGGCATCGATAGCGCACACTCCGAGTGCTCAACAGTCGTTCACGCGATACAATTCCATACCAGCTCCGGACGTAGCGCCATTCCCTGGGCCTGAGCCTTACGAGCAGCTTCCTTCGAACGCATCGCAGGTGGCATACGGTGGATACGACGAGCACGTGCAGCAGCCTCCGCATGCCTGGCAGCACCAATCTCAGGCCGGGAGGCCAATGCAGTATTCAAATTACCCACAGCACTACTCGACGTATCAACAGGCCCCCCAGCTACAGAATGACTACCGCCGGCCGCAAGCTATGCCCGCCCCTGCTAACCCCATGATGCCGATGCCAGCCTCTGTACCCTCCCACGGCCAACAACAGTATGCGGTGCACCATGGCCAGCGCAGTGCAAGTGCTCCTGGAACCCCTCAAATGCCATATCCTGGTGCTCATCAGGTTCCATGGTATCCCTCAGCACCGTCCCATTCGCCAGCACACGATCAACCGCGCAAGCTACCAAGCAATTATCCGCCTCCTGGAGGCTTCGGCCCCGGATAGGCCGCCGAGCGCTTGCGATTTCCTTTCATCTGATCAGAAGGGCTCATGGATGGGAGCAGCGAGTCTTGTTTCGTCGTATTGCGAGGCCCAGGGGTAAGAGAATGCCGGGAACACATATTGGATTTGGCGAGAAAAGGCCGCCGAACCAGGCCATTGGGGAGTAGAGCATACCTTCCACCATGGGACGAGGACACTTTCGGCGTTAGAACACCAGTTACGTTGACATTTTGCCACATCATGTCCATCCCGCGGAGGCTTTCAGGCAATGCGAATACTGCAAATGGACAAGCGTGAGGAGCCAGACTGGACGTCATCCCGACGCTGTCACACATTTTCCTCACACCATAAGGACTGATGCGTAGGGATGCCGGTGGCCAAGGAGAAATGGCATGCGTGGCCGCCACGCTCGACATATGAAGACAGCCGTCATAGTATGCGACAATTCTGGGACTGCATATGAGCTCAGGTAATGGAGACACATCTGTCCGCCACTCATACTGAGGCCGGTTTTTCCTAGGAGGCTCTGCAGCTCGGCAAGAAGTCCAGTATGACAACGGCTGCACCACCGCGCTTCCAAAGCCGAGAGCAGCACTTTACCTGCATGGAGGCCTACCGGGCCGGGATACGTGCCCTACTAGTGGAGGCGGCAGCTTCACCTCTTATCGTTACATCTGTAGCCGCGAGGCAAGGGAGCTTCTATATTTTTGGAAACTCTCTACGAGTGCCGGATCCACAGTACCATCATTGCTACGTTCGCTCTTGTATTTCCTGCGATCTTTATGGCTGGATTAACCGCGGACCTCCACACACATGGCCTGATCTTAGATCTACCAAGATCGCCAAGCGAGAGTGACCTCTTCGGCCGCTGCCAACAGGTGTTCGGGCACGGGCACTTGAAGAGTTGCTCAGGATGTAGCATCTGGCAAAAGACTGCTTGCGCCCAAATTTCGGTCCACTGCGTTGGAGGCCTCGTATCGAGTACTGGTCAGATACATGTATGCACGAATTTCGGCAACGAATTTCTTGCAGGTATGCACCTTCATATGCGCTACACATTCCTCTACTATTGGACCTGCGACTCGCCAAAGCATGCGGGAAGAATACGGTCGGTGGGCTCATGCTGCCGCCTCGCATGGCTCTGGAATGACGACCGTGTCCGCGTGCGCAAGGATTATGGTCAAGACTGCTGAGACCTAGGCCAAAGTGAATTTTCCATGGCTCTTGAAAGTCGGCATATATTCCTGATCAGTCAACATCTTGACAGTCACACCGCCCGCATCGATGCACGAGAAAGATCAGCGACACGGTCAGGCGGTTCGATAGGACAGCTAGCACCATGATTGATGGAATCCGAGCAGAGGACAGAAGATAACTCCGACGACTCGGGACAGACGCGCATCTGCGACAACGGGACCAATTGGATTCGCGCTGTAGAGACCACCGGTGAGAAGTCCATCAACAAGACACACCGCTCCGCTTTTTCTCTTCGCCTGCCTCTTTAAGCCTGTAGAGTGGCACAGCGCCAAGACTTATCATAAACGAACATACGAAGCGTTACCTCCCAGGACGTGGCTTGGGAAGCAAGTGGGCTCGGACTTACGTGTTTGCTTCTCCACTATAGTAATATATACGGACCACGATGTGACATACGGCGTACGCGCCTAAGAGCTTGGAAATGGCTTAGGGCTTCATGGTCCTCGCTTCAGTGGAAAACGGATGTGGTTGTTATACTGTAATCATGTTGTTCCCGAGTGGTCGCAAATGGCCGAATATCCACCGGCTTCGGGTCCGAGAAGAAGCGTCATACGCAGTCATGCATTGGATATTAAAAAGATTAACGGGAGTGGCTATAGTGGCATAGAAACTCCTCTCGGAAGAGTTTGGATCAGAGACACAGGTGAATCGGGCCTTTTGGCGAAAAGTTGCGAACACAGACGCGAGACACGTTGCGATATCGAGTATACAGAGCTCAGACAAGAACATGCTGTGTGTCAGCTAGCAGTAATAATAGTAATAGCAATGCGGAGTAATAATGGAGCATTGTGAGGAGTAGTTACTCTGTCGCGAACCTACGCTTCAACGCGATCGATAGAGGCGACCTTGATGTCCCAGCATTGACCCCTCAGTCGCGAACTCGATGATCACTCTTTGCACATCACTTCATATTGCTCATATCGACGACTACCAACTTATGGGACGAGAATAGCCCTTCCTCTGACCTTACCCGCACTCAGGTCGTCAATAGCCTGCTGGAAATCGGCAAGCTTGTATTGTTGCGTATGCAGCTTCACATTCCCTTGAGCCGCGAGGACCATGAGCTCGGACAGGTCGTTGTAAGAACCCACGAGGTTGCCGATGAAGTTGATCTCAGTCGAGATGATGTCTGAAAAGGTGTACAGATTAGCATCGTCGCAGCCAATTCAAGAACAGCATGTGCACTTACCAATTGTAGGGATATTGATGTTCTCGCCATAGCCGACGACGTAGTAGTTTCCTGCTCGTCGCAGCATCTTAACGCCCGTGGAAGTCGTGCCGCCCTCAGCGACGAAATCAATCACCGCTTCTGCGCCTTTCCCCTTTGTAAGTTCGAGGACCTCTTTTACAAAGCTTCCATCGTCCTTCGCTTGCACGACATGGTCGGCTCCAATGTCCTTGGCCAACGCCAACGCATCTGGATTCCGGTCGATCACTACCAGCGTCGCTCCGCTAATCGCTGCCATAACTTGGATACCAATATGCCCCAAGCCTCCCGCGCCAATGATGACGCAGAATTCTCCTGGCCGCAAGACTTTGGCCGCTTTGGCGGCGGCATGGTAGGCTGTCAAGCCAGCATCAGCAAGAGCCGCGACATCAGCAGGTTGTAACTTTGGATCGAGTTTAATGACGCTTCGAGCGGTGGTCTTGAGGTACTCGGCGTAGCCTCCATCTACATTGATTCCCGGGAATGTCGAGTTCTCGCAATGTACATCGTCGCCGAAGCGGCAAGCTCTGCAGAGACCGCATGTCACGAGAGGATGAAGGATCACTGGGTCGCCGACTTCCAGGCCTGTAACGGAGGAGCCTTTGGCGTGAATTCAGCCTGCATTCTCGTGGCCGATGGTGTAGGGGAGCTGGACGCCGGCCTTCTCTTCCCATTGACCTTCGAGAATGTGGATATCGGTTCTGTCGCGCCGTCGACAGTCAGCCGTTGATGGCACTTTGGAAGCAAAGAATGAATTCCGAATACTTGCCTGCAGACACCGGCAGCTCCAATCTTCACAATCACGTCTAGAGGACTCTCAATCTTGGGTTCAGGAGCTTCTTGCATCTCCAAGTTCTGGTGGTATCCCACCACCTTGACGGCCTTCATATCTGCGACTGAATTGATCACTGGCTGATGGGAGACGTGCTGTATGGCCTACACATCTGGGAAGAACGAGCTCGAATGCTTCCTTTTATTATGAGATGAGATCATCGCCAACCATACTTTCTACAGCTTCAGAGCATGCATGGCGCCGAACACCCCTCACCACGGCGACACGGCTCGTTGCGCAACCCCGCCATTGAGCAAGAGTATAGGCGTTTACCAGTGGTCGAGGCCTATAGTCTAAGGCTAAAGAATTGCAAATTCTTGTGCGCCATATCAAGTGCCAGATGGGCTCCTGAGGATCAAAAGCTCGTAGCAATCTCCACATTTTATCGCTCTCGATCTTACCTGATTTGCAACAGCTTCCTGCTGCAATAAGCCAAGCACAACAGCCAAACTGTCTATACTGCAGCACATATAATGACAAGTGAAGTCGCAAACAGAGTTGAACTCTGACACAACATGCCTGTTCGCATCGGATATTCCGCCGCAAACAACCTCAGACCCTTGGCAAGAGTCAAGTATCACCGAAAGCTACGAAATCAGCCTGATTCTCAAGCGCTTCAATTCGAAACTCTCGAGAGTGAAACGCGCGTGCATTTGAGTATGTGATGAACCGGTTCATCCATTGCTGGCCCGCATTGCTGGTAGGTTTTAAGGTGCTGTACAGATGTTTCGTGAGGCAGATTCAGCATCCTGAAATGGGCAGTACACACTTAGCTGCCTCGTTCCACTTCGTATCGGCGTCATCTCCTGCCTTGCCACAGTTCCATAGCAGCGCCAAGGATACTCGTCCTCCGTCTTTCGCTCTCCTCCAAGGCGCTTCTGATACTCCCAAATCCACCTGGGTTTTGCCCGCTGTCACGTCTCTGTTTCTCCTCTAATAACTTCTTCTCATCTTGCGTGAAGCCTTGCTTCTCCGCTGTCCGCGCCTTCATCAACTTGTCTCGCAATGCCCTCAACTCTTGCTCCTCCTCATCTCGTGCTTCCAACTCTTTCAGCCATGCCTCATGCCTCTCTTTCTTTTGCTTATCGGCCACGAGCCCATCGAACTCCTTGCGCTTCGCGCGATCTGACTCCCAGTACGCACTTCCGCCGACCATGGCGAGGATTGTGAAGCCTTGGGCGTAGATTCTTCGTCGGAACATTCGGTTTGTGCGGTATTTGTCGCCAGACTTTATTGATCGTGTCCTGTGCCGGGGATCAGAATCGCAATATTTTGAGCCTTCACTACGGTTGACTGTACTCACGCTTCGTATAATGCCCAGCATGTCAAAGCACATCCCAATGGAATCAATGGCTCCTCCTTCAGCCTTCGCTTGAACTTGGCCATGCGCGACTCTTCGTAGAATTCATTGTTTTCGTCAAATGATGATGGCGGCGGCGCCGTGTTAATGTTGCCGGGTACCGACATGGCTATGGTGGTCGTGTGCTCTGGTTCTAAACTCGTCCTTCGTTCGATGATGCAACAGTTCTCCAGTGTTCGTGCTCTCTGTGCTCGACGCAACACGGGTCCGACACTGTCGTGAAGGAGTGGGATGAGGGTACGCCCAGCCTCTGCGCTGCTTCTTGTAAGTCGTGAATGAGGCAATGCCGTATTGTCAAGAGCAGTTCGTGGTATCGAAGCACTCCCGAACAGCTTCCGCAGCAGCAGAGTTGATGATGCTTCTGTGCATGATTTGGAACTAGGATGGCGCTAGCAGGGATTGCTGCAGCGGGAGTTCCCGCTTCGCCAATGCTCACCGTCGCGCCTGGGCATCAAGAATATGAGTCCACCGCCCTACGAGTGACAACACCACTTCGAACAGACCGAAACTCGCTTTCAAGCGTCTTGTTTCCAGATAGTTTAGAGACCTGTCGCTGCGGACATGGAAGACGCGAACGGGCTGGCCAACGGCGCCAATGGCACTCATACTCCTGACGAGCCTCAGACTCCAACAACTCCTCCCAGACCTAAGCACACAACGTTAGCATTGACAGAATACACTGCCGCTGCATCACCAATCTCTACGACACCCAGAGATCGAGCCCGAGCTATCCTGCCTGAGCATCTACTTTTGCCAAATGGCCATCCAGATGTGAGTAATCTTCATCGATGTGAATCACTGCGTTCTCATCTACCAGGGGGGCCTGAGGGAATAGAGGCTTGATGCAGTGCTAACGTCAATATAGTATATCCGCCTCATCACAACCGCCAAGGTCTACGATGTCGTTGAACAGACTCCACTCACACACGCTGTCAACATCAGCAATCGACTAGAAACGACCGTTCTTCTCAAGCGAGAAGACTTGCTCCCAGTCTTCTCTTTCAAGCTGCGAGGCGCCTACAATAAAATGGCACATCTCACCAAAGAAGAGAGATGGAAGGGTGTCATTGCGTGTTCAGCAGGTAACCACGCTCAAGGCGTCGCTTTTTCGGCTCGAAAGCTCAAAATTCCTGCCACGATTACCATGCCTCTGGGTACACCTGCGATCAAGCATTCCAATGTCTCACGGCTCGGTGGTAATGTGGTCTTGCACGGTGCCGATTTTGATGAGGCCAAAGCAGAATGCAATCGCAGAGCAGTAGCCAATGGACTAACTAACATTCCACCTTTTGATGACCCATATGTCATTGCTGGGCAAGGTACCATCGGTGCTGAGATCTTGCGGCAGGCAGACCTGGATAAGCTGGAAGCCATTTTCTGCTGCGTGGGTGGTGGCGGTCTGGTCGCTGGCATTGGCACTTACATTAAGCGCTTTGCACCTCATGTGAAGATCATTGGTGTCGAGACATATGACGCCAATGCTCTTGTACAGTCACTAAAATTGGGCAAACGGGTCACGCTCAAGGAGGTGGGTTTGTTCGCCGACGGCGCTGCAGTGAAGCTAGTGGGTGAGGAGACTTTCCGCTTGTGCCAGGAAGTGGTCGACGAGGTTATCCAGGTCGACACTGATGACATTTGTGCCGCCATCAAGGATGTTTTCGAGGACACCCGATCTATTCTGGAACCAGCAGGAGCACTTTCCCTTGCGGGCTTGAAGAAGTACGTAAGGAGCAATCCTTCTCAAGATACCAGAAGGCAGCTTGTTGCCATTGCTAGCGGGGCCAACATGAACTTCGATCGCTTGCGCTTTGTCGCTGAACGTGCGGCCATTGGTGAGCGCAAAGAGGCGCTTCTTGCTGTGACTATCCCAGAGCGTCCGGGTGCATTCGCTGGACTTGTCGAGGAGGTTAACCCAATGGTCGTTACCGAATTCTGCTACCGATATGCTACAGATGCCTCGGCCGACGTCTTGATCGGTATCCAAGTCAACGCAGCAACCCGCACGAAAGACGTGCAAGATTTGATCTCCCGGCTTGAGAAGAAGGACATGGTAGCTCGAGACATCAGCGCCGACGAGCTGGCCAAGTCACATATCCGGTACCTTGTGGGAGGGCGGAGCAATGCGGACAACGAGCGCCTCTTCGCGTTCGAGTTCCCTGAACGTGGTGGCGCTCTGTACAAGTTCCTCACTTTACTGCAGCCACAGTTCAATATCTCCTTGTTCCACTACAGGAACTACGGAGGCGACGTCGCTAAGATCTTGGCCGCCATCCAGTGTCCGCCAGGCGAAGAGGAAGGACTCACGAAGTTCCTCAATGATCTGGGTTATGGATACACGGAGGAGACCAAGAATGAGACGTATCAGATGTTCATGAGGAACAAGCAGGTAGCGTCGTAAGCCCACAATCCATGATTTAGGCATCTGCTGGTCACCTTCGAGCAGCCACTGGCCTACAAGCGGTTTGTTCTTGTGGCATCTTTGCTCCTCGGTCGGCAGGACGAAGCGCACGAGCGCACTTGATGCCCCTCAGTTGCTGCAGCTGAACGCACGGATCACTTCTGGCTGTTGAAGTCGGTCGCGAACTACGCGCGCCTGCATTATTTCTTCGCGCCTGCCTCACGCTATCGCACCTACCTTGGACGTTTTCTTCTGGAAGGCGCACCCACCTTTTCTCTCAGGCAGACACGTACCTCGACGCAGCTCGTCTGATTTTGTTCAACCACCGACCCTCGCCTTCACCCACAATGGCAGACCCTTCAGTCGGTCCCCTGGTGCTGGACTGGGCACACGAGCTTGATATCGTGGACAATGACACCGCCAACCTGCTGATCAACATTTATTTGGAAGACATTGCAGCGCTCAAGACTGCAGCAGGTGCTCAAATCAGCGATGCTACCGTGGCACAGTAAGCAGCCAAACCACATTTCGCAAGACATCACATTGATAGCACACAGGGAACTCTTTGGCGTGACCCTTCTACAGTATCGCGCAGATCGTGCCGCTCGAGCTCCGCCGCCGCCCCCACCGCCCCCACCAGTCGTCCGCGAGCAATGTAACGCTTCAGTCGATGAGTTGGTTCGGGCGCCCTGCGGTCACCACTACTGCGCGGAAGACGTGCAGCAGGTGTTCAGCCTTGCGCTCCAGAATGAAGCATTCTACCCTCCCCGTTGCTGTCGCCAACCTCTGGACTTCGAAGCCACGCGAGCATTGCTCGGCCAAGATTTGGCAGCCCGGTTCGAGGGAAAGCGCGAGGAGCTGGACGACAAGGCTAGACTATACTGCCATGATGGGTCTTGCTCAGCATACATACCAGCTATCAACAGAGCCTATACTGTTGCGCTGTGCCGTACCTGCAACGAGTTCACGTGCGTATCTTGCAAGAATCGCATGCATCCTGGTCGAGCTTGTCCACCAGATCCAGACAAACAAGCCATTTTGGACATTGCAAGACAGGAAGGCTGGCAAAAGTGCAATGGCTGCGGAAACATGGTGGAACTACGCACTGGCTGCAACCATATGACGTTCGTGTGCAGCTCGCAATTTCTAGAGACCTGAACTAACTCACTTGGCAGTTGCCGTTGCAAAGCTGAGTTCTGCTACGTGTGCGGCGAGACGTGGAAGAATTGCAGGTGCCCTCTCTACGACGAGACTCGTCTGCTTGAACAAGCTCAACGAGTTGCAGAACGCCAGCAACAGGGCGGCGATGCTGCTGCCGTGAACGCCGTTGCAGACCATTTGCGGGAGCACCACGAATGCGAACATCCCTCTTACCAACGCGTGCATGAACCGTGGCTTGTGTGCGAGGACTGTGGCGACGAGCTACCATACTTCATTTACAGGTGCAGGCAATGTCTATTGCAGCAGTGCGCCCGCTGTCGCTTCCATCGCTAGATGACGCCGAAGGCCAAGGCGGGATTGTTCAGCCAGGGAAGTGTGGATCCTACATGCGAGGATGGCAGCGCATCAAAGATGTCACAGACTGAGCCAAGGGCTGTATTGTCCATGCTGAGCCAGCAAATTCGCAAATGGAGGAAATATGACTTATGCTCGTATCTCAATACATCACGTCTGCGCAAGAACAAACCACCACTCATCACAACTGATCTCAGGCACTATCTCCTAGTCTTCGTTGAGAATATGGGACGAGATCTTCTCCGCTAACGCGTAGATCCAGCTCTGGGGATGACCAGGCGGCAGCAAAGGCGCGGCAGAAGCGTCCACGACACGAAGGCCCGTGACACCAAAGACTCGGGCTCTGTTATCCACAACTGCCATAGGGTCAGAAGCCACGCCCATTTTGCAAGTACACGCAGCATGCCAGACTGTCAAGAGCGTTGAGCGAATTGTAGCCAGGATGCTGTAATTGGAACGGCCGAGTTAGCCATTCGATATCTGATTGGTATTGTTCTTGTAGCATGTGTGGCAACTTACTCTGCATCAGACTGTACTCTCGGACCCGGAAAGTACTCAACCGGATCAGCAAGGACCGGCTTCATGAAATTTGAGGCGAAAGCAGCTCGGTTGCGTTTGTAGGCTGCAAGAGCGACTTCCTGATCGGTTCGCGAGGTGAGCCAAGCGGGATCGATGACCGGCAGATCATCTGTGTTGGACGAAGAGATTGTTACCGTGCCGCGGGAGAGGGGCGCGACAAGAGCAGTAAGAATTGAGGCATATTGGAATCCGTCCTTGGGTTGAGTACTTGGCAGATCCGAGAACTCGCCGACGTAGCTGGGGGAAATGAAAATGTAAGTGACGTGCTCATGCTTCTGTGAGATAAATGAGTTGTTGAGCTTACCCAGGCGCGGACAGGTATTCGATCTCTGGCCAATCCGCGGAAAATCGAGAAAGTTCTGCTCTTGCGGTGGCACTGAAGCCATTCTTGAGTGCCGCTGGTGTCTTCTCCCAGCCTAGGAAGTCGCAAACTGGATTTGTCAACACACCGGTCTTCTGGCTCTCGTACTCGGCAAATTTGGCAGCGAGGAAGAAGGGGTCATTGCTACGAAGGAATTGTCAGAACGTTGTCAGCCTGTTTGAGGAAGCATGCCTTTGGACTTACACAACTCGCGTCAGAGTTTCTACCTTGACTCTATATGATGGCCCGAAGAAGATGTGGTCCCACATATTCTGTCCGACTCCAGCGAGGTCCTGGATGACTGGGATGTTGAATCTGCGGAGAGTACTGGCAGGACCGATGCCCGACACCATCAAGAGTTGAGGTGACTGGAAGGCTCCAGCGCTCAAGATGACCTCTTTGCGGGCTCTGATTGTGTACGGTATGAATCCACCTGATGTGACCCTCACTCCGGTCGCGCGCTTGTTCTCGAACAGAATCTTCTTGGCCTTGGTCAGCGTGAAGACGCGAAGGTTAGGTCTCCTAGCAGCCGCGTCAAGGAAGGAAGTTTGAGAGGATTCTCGCTTCTGGTCGGAGGGATTGATGGTGCTGCTGCAATATTGGGCGCCGAACAGGTTTCCCGAATTGAAGCCTTCATCGTTGGTCGGCACCCCGATCTCGTTGAGAGAACCTTGTATCCAGCTGGAGAAGGGCCCGGCATAGTTCGCGTACGAGACATCCAGAGGCCCGCCATTTGCGCTGAAGGCTGAGGCGTCGAAGCCAGTGGTGGCATTTGAAGCACGAGTTGGGCCAGGAGGGGAGAATCTCACGCTCTTCTGGAAGAATGGTAGCCACTGTCAGATGTCAGCACGTAATGCGACATCGCTGTCCTGTTCGAATGCACTGACGTTCGAAAAGGTATAGCTATCATCATCAACGGCATCTGCCCACTGTTGCAGAGAACCCACAGTTGGTCTCTGATAGATCATAAAGTTCCGCGCAGAGCTTCCTCCCAAGCATTTGCCACGAGCATAGAGCACTCGCCGACCGTTCGCTCCTGCTTGTGGTTGTGTTACGATCTTCCAATCGACCAGCGGCTGTGCCTTGCTGGGATCTGCGCCAACGAAGAAGGTGTCGCCTGCAGGTGTGCTGCTCAACAATGGGTTGGAGACTTGGTAGTAAGAGCCAGCCTCGATTACTGCGACAGATACGGCCGGATCTTCTGACAATCTGTTTGCCATGACAAGACCTTTGTCGAAGTCAGTGGGAGTTCTTGGATTGCTAGCACTCGATGATGTCCCAGACCTGCTGTTCCGCCGCCCACGATGACATAGTCAAAAGTTGTGAGTTGCCTCTTCTCGTGCTCATTCTGGGCTTCTGAATCTGCCAGTGGAGAAGCTGCTATGCTTTGAGCCGACAGAAGGAGCAGCCATCCGGCCAAAGCAGTTGTAGACCGCATCCTCAGCTGGCCAAGAGCGTTCAGAACAATCCCAGAAGTGGCAGCAGATCTGGCTTAAATATCTCTCGAACTTAACGCACCAGCACAGAGAGTCCACGCCCGTGTTCTGACGACTGGTATGCATACAAAAGGCCTAGAAAAGCAACTCTTGCACCGAACGAAACGATATTCCTGCCGGATGTAAGTCAAAATCCATGCTATAATAGCGCAAGTATGAATGTTCAAGATAAGGTTCGGCTCAACTTGCTGATCCGGTCTTCTTCACGGGGCGGCAGTTTGACTCTAGTTAACTAGTGCGGTTCCAAGGTTTCTTCTATGCGCCACATCGCCCAGAACTGTTACAAGGCAGTTGTTAAAGTTGATACCATTCCTGATCAAGACACCACAAGTGTGATCCGGTAGACAGGAGTGCAGCCCGGTGATGTTTGAAGGCGAGCCTACGAGTAATATCGTAGAACACTCTCCGAGCACTTCTCTTTTTGCTGGACTTGGATGCGGATTGGCACGAAGGAGTGTCAATTCGAACTTTGAAGCTAGGCCAATGGCATGCACGCACAGAACCCGAACATCTCCAGACTCCACTACCACATGTTATGTCAGTTGTGATGGCCTCTTCACGCTAATATCATGAGGTCTGGCTTAGTAACTTCTAGTTTGAGGTGGCTTTGGTAGGACCGCTGATCATCTGCAGTAGTGGTGGTAGTAACGTGTAGGGCTTCGCTCGTACTCGTAGCAGTAGGGTTCACGATGGCCTCCGCGGACTGGAATGCATCATGCATGGCGAATAACTCTTGGATCCTCCTGGATCGGGCCGACTCTCTTCTTTCCTCCAAATCGGATGTCGAAGGTCGAAGGCCCGCAACTATTGACCTCATACACAATCGCTCGTGAGATGTTGCCCAGACCATGCAACGCGGCTACTCCTACAGATTGTCGAACTTTCCTCCCCACTTCCCACAATCATTGCTCCACATACTGATGGAAGAAATCCACGTAATCGAAAATGCTCCGCTTGAAGCTCCTTGTGAACTCCCTGTTCGTACGGTTGACGTGCTGCAACCCATACTGCTGGTCATAGCTTCCAAACTCGTTGTTGTCCAAGAAAGACCAAGCCAGTGCCCCAACGACATTGACATTATCCTCGTAGATGGATTTGAGCGTCTCGCGCAAGAAAGCGTAGTAGTAAAGCGTTCTTTCAAGATCATAAAGCTGTGCGACAACAGTCTTCGAACTTTCCATGAACGGGTTGAACCCAAATTCGGCGATGAGAATTCCTGAAGGCTTGAATGTATTCCAAATGTAGCCCAGTTGCTGACGGACATACTGAGGCGCGATGTATGCATAGCTGTGTCTGGTCAGCTAAGGCGGAAAAGGATGAAGTTGGGCGCAACATACGCATAGCTGCCTTGGCCATTCAGCCAGCCATCAGTCTGAACATTAGTATTGACGACGCAGTTCGGCCAAAGTGGGTCACTTGGATTCTTTGCGCAAGCGTCGATGCCTCCTGGAGGCGCAGTCGCAAAGCCAGCAGTATAGGGATCGAATGACCAGAAGTCAGCTGTACCATTAAAATACGAGAGTTCGTCTGCTGTCAATGCTGTCAGGTTGAGACCCGACGTGTTCAGCACCTCTTCCGGTAATTGCTGGCCGAGAAAGATGGGATTACCAAGGATCCCGAGAATGAAATCTTGGTATCTTAATGCTGCACGAATGTCATCGTTGTTTTCATTGTCGAGTGGAACTGCCAGATTGTTGGCAAACTTGATAGTGACAAGACCTGTGCCCTTTAGCTCTTCCTTGTACCAGTGATAGACTGATGCGTGCGCATGCAAGATGTTTGGAACAGCCGAGAAGGTCGTTTGACCGGGATATGCGATATTTGGTTCGTTCAACGTGACCCAATGAGAAACACGATCCTGTAAGTCACATTAGTATGTAGGGAATATGCCAGTGACAGCACACTCACACTATAGCGGGTCATGACTTCTTTGGCATAGTACAAGAACGATTCTGCGAACTCTGTGGTGTTGTCTAGAACGAGTGATCAGTCCATGTTGATCGAGTTGGTTTTGGCCCACTCACAAGAATGAAGAAGTGGTGGATCGGCATGCGAGAGCGTTACAATTGGTCGTACTCCGTACTCAATGCAGGTATTGATCAAATCAGCGTAATGCTCCAGCGCTGCAGTATTGATCGGGCTACCAGCAATGCCGAACGGCACGACGCGGGTCCAAGAGATACTAAACGAATAATTCGGCACACCAATCGCTGCGAGACGGGCGATGTCCTGCTTGTAGAGGTAGTAATTCATGTCAGAAACCACTGCGTTTACTGTATCCTCAGGGCCACCAAGAGCACCAATTTGATCCAGGGTACTAGGCCCACGACCTTCCTCGAATGCAGCGCCTTCGATCTGCCACGCGCTTCCAGCAACGCCCCATAAGAAGTCCTTCGGAAATTTGTAGCAATCTAGGCAAGCATCTGCCTGCTGCGGGCAAGGAGTGTACAATGTTGGTGGGAATACAAGCTCGCTGCTAGCAACGGGTGTTGGAGTCACGGTGGTCGTGAATGGTACAGTCGAATTGTAGCTCAGTGTCGACCACAATCTAGCGTAAGCACCCTGGCCGTACTGCCCATCCTGGAGACCAGTGGCGTTTCTATCAAGGGAATAGCTTGTGTAGGTCTGGCCGGTTGGAAGTAGGGAGGAAACTTGACTGAAAGGTGGTGCGTAGGTTGTGGTCAACACCAGCGGAGAGGGAACAGCCGTTGCATAACGTGTGGTGGTAAGCGCTGTATATGTGAAGCTGCTGTACGAGGCCGTTCGAGTTGCCGAGCAGGTCTTCAGGTGCGATGTTGTTGGTAAGCCAATGGTCGTTGTTGAGCATCGAGAGGTATTGCCATGCTGGGCTGGGATGGCTAAAGCCACTGTTGCCAGTGAAGCAATGGTCAGTAGTGAGATAGCCATGGTGATAAATGAAAAATGTCGTATTGAAAGGGAACATGCTATGGCTTATGCAGGACCTCTTATACTCCTACAAGAGCCGTCAGAACGCGCCGTATTTGGCGCTACAGCACGCCTGACATGTCAAACAAATGCCGTCTTTGGTCTTGTTGCTGCAAGCAGTGTGACATTGGCGAATACGATGACATCGATACTGCCGTGCCCCAGACTAGTGCAGGAACTGCGGAGGGGAAGTCTTGTTGAAGCTTAGGCGAGGTTAGTTGTGTCCGACATTGTCCGACAGGGAGTTGCTATTAAGCCTCTGAGTGTTTACTATTAAGCCTCTGAGCCTGCGAAGTCCTATTGCACACCTCCACGCGGTCGCAGGTGGAAACAGATAGCTTCGTGTAAGGAGTGGAATGTAGCAATGTATCAAGCGCCCCTAGACTCCCCGTCTAGAGATGTCAAGAATAATTCTTGCCTTCTTAGTTTGTGTGCGTTCTGCGTGCTTTTGTCCTGCGCCAAGCATGAGCGGCACTAGCCGTCATGCCTTGACGCCTAGCAAGCTACGCCTCTCGAGCTATATACCGCTGGCTCTTACAACTATCTCCTCCCTCTAATAGAGCTGCCTCAGCTCGGAGAGGAGACTATGTATCTCCGTCGTCTTAGTATAGCATCCGGTGCGTTCGTGCTGCTTCTTGCGTACGTAAATGTTAAGTCGAGCCTTAGTTCGTAGCTAGTTACTATATAGCNCAACGGGCTTATTAACGGTGCGTGCTATCGGCGCTCGCGCTGTGAGGCGCTAGTGCACTATAAATTCGTCGTATGCCCTTCGCGTATTTTCTCTATTAACTATCTATATTTAGCAAGCTCTGCGTATCCGACTCGTACTATATACTTAACTATCTAGCACTTCCCTCGCACGCGACCCGCAAGCAACATACCTCCTAGGAGAGCTGCCGCCGCTCCCGCTACCCCGGCCGCTAACTACGACTCTCGTATAGTAGAAGACCTACCGAAGGCAGAGGATAACGACTACTAGCGCTGCCTCCTATACCTCGCAGATCGTAAGTCGCGCGGTTCGTATACGTATTATATACTTTGAGTCTGCTAACTTCTTATACCTAGCTATCGAGCCGCGCTATAATAGCGACATAAAGCTCGGCTAGTAGCTAAACTATATTCGCTACGCTAGGTCTAACTAT